GGCTCCGAATCTGGAAAACATTAATAATCTATATAATTATGTCTTTGTGAAGTTTCCTGCTTTTGTAACAAGTGGGAAAAACCGTTTTCACTGCGGGCACGACAAGTCCCGCCCCCCTTTTTTTAAATGGATGCCACGCCCCTAAAAGGGTAAATTTGCGATGGCTCCACATCTAAAACATTTTCTCGCATGAATATGAACATCTGTGCCAAGTTTCACGCTTTTATGCAAAAGTGCACAATTTTTTTCACATATCCGCTGGACTATAGACAGTGGCATCCATTTAATTAAAAGATGCTAGTAACCTTTGGAAGAAAATAGCTGGTACAGTGTACATGCATCTAGTATCTCTGAAAATGATGTTTCGTCAGACTGCGTCAGACCCCCAAAGCTACGCGATCCTATTTCTACGCACTTACCTTTAATTTGCGTTTGGCAACGCGCGCGCGTGCAAGGCGTTACCTGCGCAGATTATGGAGGATAAGGACACGTTTGTGATTGAAAATCGCTGGTATGGCTTTTAAATGTTAAACGTGCATACAATATGAGAAATCGCTGGTATACTGCTTTGAATTTCACGAGCTAGCTGGTATGCCTTCTTGAATGTTTGCATGCATAAAATATGGGGGAAAACGCTGGTAAACGCGACCTTTTCGGTGTAAAATCTGTTGCCAACCACGGCGTATGTCCTTGTGACAGCCCGTGAAATGGTGCGCAAATGTTCACAAACCTGCTCGTCGCTGGTATACCGCTTTAATTAAACGACATATGTAATTTGTGAGATCGTTCATCATGCAACATCGTTAGGACTTGTGCCGGAACTTGAATCCTATGGGAAATAGCTGATGTTTAAAAAATAAAATAATTGTACTTAACCTCACCGGATGATGTTTCATCATGTGCTTTGGGAAACCGTCGGTGTGTGGACCGGAAAGATGCTATGATGCACTAATGAGGACATAGCAAACATTCTTTCCTTAATGTCACGAACCTTCAGGCTTACATTTCGCGTGCAAAAGGCAAACCAATGTTTGACACATTTCTTTCTCAACTATTACAGTGCATTGTATCCTAGCACGGCCGTGTTGCTGCAAAACGGGGGGGGGGGGGGATGACGTACCTATTTGTGCCCAAAAGACTTAAATTTGGCTCCAAATAATAATTAATTAATTATTTTTAGTCAGGATCGACCACAGCAATCCCCACGGGATTTCGTTCGTGTAAACTCGAGACTTTGCGAGTTGCTCATCTCCATGATTGCCTGCGTAAAGTGCGGGAGTTAATTGCCTTTTCTGATACACGAAAAGTACATGCGGCATATCCGGGCGTGCTTTAATTTGCTTGCAGGCCTAATGCTTGCCTCATTAAATTCATTTTCCGTCTGGAGACTTCGTCTGCAAAATAAGAGTCCAGAGTGTTTTGTCCGACTGTGAAAATGAATTATCTTACCAGAGACGTGTCCTGCGGGCTGGTTGCTTAATAACATCCTTAAAGAAAAATAGAACAAATTCAAAATTACAAAATACTATAATAATATAGGTTTTCCCAGTTATTTTAACACTTATATGACGCAAATTTCATTTAACGATACTTTAATTTCGTCCTCGAACATCTTCGAGCTCAATTCCCGAATTCAATTTTAAAAAGCCACCAATGGATTTCATGTAGGCCTAAGGTGCATTATAATTCAAATGTGTCGCATTCTGATTCGCCCTAGTAATTTCGGTAAATTCGTCTTATCGGACTACTGAATGCCCTGTTGCTGTGATGGCATTTCAGGAAGCCACTGTTCAGTTTATGGGTTTCTGTTCAAATTGTGAACCCCAAAATGTGTTCATCGAAAACATTTGTAAGAAAGGTTTGCTCATCGGCTTACTGCCATGTAGGCCTGACACAACAACGAATCACCGAAAAGAAAAGAAACTGTACAAAAGCGAAATATCCAAAGTTCTGGCAACTTTTGGTGCTGAAATAGCTGTAACATTGAGGTTTCTGCCTGAAATGACATAGCACGTTTGCCAATTAATATGGAAAATTCTTAATAGCATAAAAACTAAAAAGGCACCAAAATACCCTTGAAAATGACAAACGCAAAATTGAAAATAAGGTTATATGGGACACAGTGGTGCATTTCATAGGATTAAATAAATTACATCGCATGGACCCTTTCATTTTATTTTAATTTGCGCCATGTATTCGAGAAAATGGTAACAACATCATTTTTATGTAAGATTTGAGGCTTTGCATTGTGGAGATACTAAATAATGAAAGGTTTGATGAAACACCATGTGCGAATAATTTCTCAACTAAGAGAATGGTTCTGAAAAGAACCAGAGGTATTAACTCGACGTTCCGGTCAGTATGCTCTGACCGTCGTTTTTATGGAACGAGTGCTTTTGGGATTTATAGGGAAACTACTTCGTATAGCCAAGATCACACTCTAGTGCTAGGCTTAAATCAGATTAAAAGAGATTAGAAAATTGAAAAAAAAAAACAGGTTCGTAATAATTGGACTGACCACATCTTTCTGGTGCGCGTGCCCATTTGTAACCATGACAACATAATGCCATCCTCTCAAGTTGGAAACTAATGAGCGGGGATGTGGTATAAGAAGATTGGATCAGCCTACGCGTCTGTCTGCTTGTTGGTGCCAGACCCTCCGCCAAACTTAAAAGAGTACACAAAATATCTTTTTTAATGGGAATCTGTTGAAATGCACCTTTAGTGCCATTTGCATTGATTGCAACTGGGGTGATGTTTGAGCCCGCCCCCCCCCCCCAAAAAAAGGGGGGGTTGAGGAAAGATGCCTCGTTGTTCCTTGAATCGGCCACAAAAAAAATGTTTTTGCAAATGGTTCCTTTTACTCAAAAGTGTTTAAGACCAGCCAGCTATGTCTTTATCAACCGTTTAAAACCGGCCACGCGACGGGCTCTCGACCAAGTGGGTAACTGTCTTAGAAATTTATGAATAAGGAGTCATTGGCTATCGACTGAAGTAGTTTGGAGAAACCAGGAGAAGCAAAAAATAAGGAATTCTATTTTCATTATAGTATGAATTTTGTTATTTACATTTTAGTAACAGGAATTTGGGCTGGCTGGACGATCCATATCGATTGCTTTAATTTGTTGTCCCCTTTTGTTCACAAAGAAAATCGTATTGAGATTTGGATGCATGGCCAGATGCTATGTGAACAAAACAACAGATGAGTTTCAATCCAATTAATGTTTTCATTTGGTTTTTCACTTTTGATTACTATCGATTAATGTACATCGTTTATTCTGAACAGTGAATGTTTGCGTGCTTAGTAGTAATCAAATCATTCTCGGACATGTTTACATTTAGAACCGGCATGATTAGTCTAGTCCAGTTGATACAAAAGACAGCTATTTCCATTGCCAATTACTCAGAAGCTGCTGTTTACTGTTAAACTTCAGGCAAGTGGCAATCGTGTTAACACATTCTTTAGGCCAAAAAAAAAGTCTCCGGTTTCTGGTATGGAGCTTGCCCAAAAAGTGGTGCGGCGACGCGGCTTTTTGTTTTTACCTGATTTTTTTGCCTCAAATGTCGGCTAATGACTGCAAATGGTGCCCGACTAAACTTAGTGCAAATATATGGGAGTCTAGAGAGGCCACATAAAGCTTATTCTCGATCATAACCCCATCTAAAAACACGTTAAAATTGTGCAGCAGCAGGATTCCAGTCAAACCAGTGAGTTTGGCGGTTTAAGACATCATCTTTCATTGAAAAAAAAACTTTTTCATTTTGCCGACGCGCATGGCTACGGCGACGCGTGCGCATACCAGAAACCGGAGACTTTTTTTTTTGGCCTTATATTTGGGTCACATTTTTGCCATTCATGTACTTTGTGCGCGTGTGGCATGACGATCGAAGTCCTACACTGGATCCCAGGCGGCATATTTTGATATAAGCAATCATTGCCGCCCGCGTTTGAACAAATCGTCATGTCTCTCCGTTACTCCTTTTGTTAGTTATTTACTTAAATTAGTAACAAACGACAAACGTTGACATTGTCGATCTATTGCTCCTACATAATCTTGACCGATTTCAACTAAACTTTGTCAAAGGTATCAGTAGCCCAGCCCCAACATGTCACATGACCAAACTGGGATCAAAGGTCATCGTGGGGTCACTGGGGTAAAAAAAAACCCGCTGTATTTCTTTTACTCAAAACGCTACTTGCAGAAATTACATGGCACAATCACTAGTCTTGACTCATGCATGAAACATGAATCATTGGCCCGCAGCTTCCGAGATCCGAACGAGCTTGTTCAACTGAATCATTAATTGCTATCCTTATGGTTCAGTGATGTGCACATGAAGGCATATGGTTCTGTTTTTATCAGAAGAATTGACGCATTTCAAATTGGCACCGAAGCGGGGTTTTGAGAGGATTTAAAAAGAAAAGGTCTTCAATGTCACACAAGTGGCTTAGCACCGAGTGCTGCCTTTCAATACCAAGGTTAAATTTGTTCTTTTGTTTTGTGGGGTGTTTGGGGCGAGATTCAAAGAATAAAACCCCTTGCACTGACTAGCTCCGTCACTGAGGACGTGCTTGTTTTGTTATTTAAATTCAGTGGCAATGAAAGTGCAAGGTTTGTATCGTTCGAAAACGTTTCCAGATGTTAATATTTCGGGTTTTATACAGGTATCCTATATAATTTTACTGTGTTGGTTATGCCTTTGATGAAAGGTTCTTCTGCGATGACAGCACACTGATAGTTTAAGGACGACTTATAAGGATTATAAACAAAATATGGCCGCAGGTGTATCGGACCATTAGTTTTGTTTATTTTGGCTGACGATCTGTTAAAGCAATCATCCCAAACACACAGAACACCTATTTTGTTCGAGAGAAAATTTCCAAAAGCAAACTTAATTAAACTGACGTTTATATTAACAGCTTTAAAGCTCGCGCAGACACGATCATCAGTCACTTTCCAAGTATAGTTCATCATAAATATATCCACATTTCATTGTAGGACCATACGCGCATCACGCACAGATGACGTCACGACGTGTGCGTCTCGTGATTGGTGGACGGTGGAGACAACACTGGCATGAAGCGGGACGAGTATAGATTGGCATGCATGTCGTGGATGGAAGTCATATCGGCCTCTGAGTTCTGTAGAAGACAGTTTGCATTGTGAAGGTCTGCCGCGCGCGCACCAGGTGTTGCGTTCAATGCACGGCCGTTGATTGGGTGAGTACGCCATTATGTAATTCCAGGTGCATTGCTTTTGTGATAGTCTTGTGAAGAAAGTAGTGTAAGACGCCGCTTGGGTATGAGAGTACGGAGTCTTTGGGATGACAATGAAATATTTTCTCACAAAATCTGAAATGTCTGTTACCAGATTTGTTTGTTTATCCGCATGGCGACAATCACGACGATTTGGCGGAAAAAGAAATGGGGCAGGTTTGAGGACAAAAGTTTCACTTATTTTGTTTCACATTTTGCTGAGTTATCCCTTGAAAAAAATTAAAACATCATATTACTTAAATATGATACCAATTCATCGAGGCATCAGTCAACATAGGGTTACCGTAGTTTGACAATTTTCTTTTCAAATTTCAATTGTCTTCCATGGTGAATTACCGTTGTGTATGCGATTTCTATATGTCAATAAGGGCCAACTCAATTATTTTTTTTACATAAACGGTTCACAAATTGAACAATTATGTATTGAAAAGGCTTCATAGTTAATTCATAGGGTGGTTCCACATGACGTCCTATGTTTCTCTGAACTGTGTGATCTTTAGAATTTGGTTTCACGGTCCAGGTGGTTTTGAGCAAAAAAGTAATTATGCTTTATGACTCGACGGCTTTTACGCGATAAACGAATGCCATGGTTTTAAAGGAACAGGCTCATTCGGAGGAGACGCAGGTGCTGAAGCGAAACAATTTCTTTTTATAACGGCAGCAGACAGTGCTGCACGAAAATATGGTTAGTGTACATGTACTGACATTCAGGGTGATATCGCACCCGTTGGCCTATAGGCACAGTTTGTATTAACTGAGTATGCAGGCCCACTACTTTGAATGCGTTTAATAGCCAGACCTGATCTGGTACACGGTACCCTGTGGAGACATGTGCACAATAGGGAACAAAAGATTGTACACGTCTCCACAGAGCAATTTCTAAAGGTGAATACGTCTCGACAACACAAGGTTATCACGAGATAGATATATGGATTTTACTCGAAAAGTACACTGTTATTTCGGTTGTGTACTATATGAACCTAGCAAGCAGTTGGGTAAAAAAAAATGAACAAGTTGTGTAATATTTTACACAAGTTGTGTAAACAACAGTTTACACAACAGGTTGCTAGGTTCATATCGTACACAACCGTTTGATTCTTACACAACCGAAATAACAGTGTAGGAATTTCCAAGGTGTGTCGTGGACCCCTAATGTCCCTCTTGTGTTTGCACAAGTAAAACTTACACCTTTCACTTAATAATTGATTGTATTTCTGAATCTAGGGACTGCAATTGAGAAATTGGATTGAGATATAGTCATGCTTTAATGTGATATGATTTCTTTGAAGAAAAAAACATTAAACAGTTTTGAATATATACTTGTTATCTAAATGTTGCACTTTTCGGGGGCACACTGTGTTAGTAATATACCACGGCAGCCGCGACTGCATTGAAAAAATGAGTTATGTTTATACAATGTAGTACCGACGTTATTGTACCAGCAACATAGATAGAGCAAAAATGTCAATCAAGTTGTTCTGTAAGACAAAATAAATTATAGTTTGAAACTCTTCGTGTTTTACTGCCAGGGGGTTCGCCAGCTGTTAAAATTAAAAAGCTTAATTGCATTTCTGCGAGTTGTAATACAATGTCGCACTGACGTTATTGTACCAGTAACATAGATAGAGCAAAAGTGTCGATCAAGTTGTTCTGTGAGACAAAATAAATTATAGTTTAAAACTCTTCGTGTTTTACTGCAAGGGGGTTCGCCATCAGCTGTTAAAATTAAAAAAGCTTACTTGCATTTCTGCGAGTTGTAATACAATGTAGCACTGACGTTATTGTACCAGCAACATAGATAGAGCAAAAAAGTCGATCAAGTTGTTCTGTAAGACAAAATAAATTATAGTTTGAAACTCTTCGTGTTTTACTGCAAGGGGGTTCGCCATCAGCTGTTAAAATTAAAAAGCTTAATTGCATTCATTGCTGCGAGTTATTACACCGAAGAGTCAACGACTTGTTGCCCGGATTGCAAGCTTTGAAAAGAAAAAGTACAAGTATGTGCGTTGCGAACACCCAGTCGTGAATTTCGACAGTTTGAGTTAAAAAAAACACACGAAACCCAAATGTCAGGACTAATGTTTTAGTGAGGTTCTGCATGTAGCACTTTCAAAATCTAGGATATGAAAGCCCAATTCATAAGCTTTCTTTTAGTACAAGAACCATTCAAATCACTCGTGTACTTTTCAAGTTACGGACTTTTAACCACAACCACCGTTTTAAAGTTCTGTCCTAATTCTTGTAATTGTACTAAAAGAAAGCTTATGAATGAGGCTTTCATATCCCAGATTTTGAAAGTGCTACATGCAGAACTTCACTAAAACAATAGTCCCGACATTTGGGTTTCGGTTTTTTTACTCACCCTGTATACGCCCGAGGACAATGAGTTGTGTTCCCTTTATATAGCACTCTCCCATAGACTAAGCACACAATCGTACGATCCAGGACCATTTTCAACAAAAGACCCAACGCTCGAGGACTGAAAATGTATTTTGTTCTCCGTTAATGTGTGTCTGTCCTCTATCGTAACACTACAAAAGCTCTGCTAAGCAATTAAACACAATCTTGCTATCCCTTTGTAAACATATTTAGTTGCTAAACAATACGTGTCCAATTCCTGAACATCTATGTTCAATTGCTATTCGCTAGATCCATCAATACTCTAAAATGTTTAGTTTTTAAACATGTTTACAAATTGATAGCACTGGGTGTTTAGAAAAGTGTTTACTGTTGTAAGGCCAAAAAAAAAAGTCGGTCTCTGGTCAGCGCGCGCGTCGATTTTAATCATGCGCGTCGATCTTTTTTTTCTCCAAAATGTTCCGCGGTAGCTCCAGCAGCGCCCTCTATTTCCGCACCTCCTCCATTTTTTTTATCAAAGAGCACCAAGGAATGGGAAATTGCACCAAGGCAAGTGATCGAAAGCACCAATGCAAGTTATGGAGGACACCAATGTACATGAGGACACCAAAAAGCAAAATAGTACCCCACCTTGTCTGTACAATCCAAGCTTGAATAAGGGGGGGGGGGAATTAAAAAAAATAAAGCCGCGTGGCCGCGTCAATTTCGGAACTTTGGTCTGACCAGAGACCGAACATTTTTTTTGTTTTGGCCTAAACACAGTTTTTTGCAGTGTAAGTGGAAACCGCGTAAAAAATGCCCGCAAATGTTTTTTTTAGGTAGCCACAGTGGTTTTTTAATGGGGAATATTATTTGGTATTTGGGTTAACTATCTTCATTTTCAAGTTTGATTACCAAAAAAATATCATTTTCATTTTTTGTTAAAAACAAGTACATGTACACGTACCTGCCAAAATACCGACCAGAGCCAATTATCATTGAGATTTTCTGAACGAGTTTAGAATAATGTAAACCATTCTTTGGCTTTTAACTTTCCACTATCTGCATTTTCAATCTGTTTCAAAATTTCATTTTAACTTGTAAGCCGGTACGTGCATAAAAACCTTAGTTTGAAAATAAAACCGATTACTTGTGGTGGTATCCCGTTACTCTGTTGTGTACATGTATAGTTCAAACGAGCACACACTGTGTCTTAGTAAGATCAATGCTTCATGTATAATGCTTCTATAATCATCCGATGCACTATCAATAATGTAATTTTGGTCGACAGAGTACATGTATTATTGCACGAGCTTTTTAACAGCAACAAGATTTAGTAGAATTTTACTGTCAATTAAAATTGAGCTGTTATATTATGTTCTTTTTTTTTTAATCCCGTTTGAATTGAGCGTTTCTTTTATATGGTGTTTTTATATTTCAAGCCATTCATTGTCATCAAAAGAAATATATTACCGCTGTCAGTTACAATAGTGATACAAATTCTCGGAAAAACCTCCGGTTTGGTATTTGTTTGGTCACTTATCCTCTGTCAATGTGTGTTTCACAATATCTCAAAACTAATAAACCATTGTAGTTTTCAGTTTTTACCACACTCTGGCATCAATAGTTTTATAGTTAAACCAACTGTCGGCGCAACGACTTGTCTCTAAGAAAAACATTCATCGGCGTCGTCATATTTCAACGGCGATTGCCTGAATTTATTTTCCAGAGAAAGTATTGTGACCTATTTTCACCGATAGGGTCGTGTAAAATGAATGGCAAACAATGTCATGTCATGGAACAGTCACCGTGCCAATAGCAGCCAATTCGACCGTAAAATGTCATGTACTTTTGTAAAATTAAAGTACATGTTAGTTCACGAGTCATAGATTTCAGCGGGCGGGTCCAGTAGACTTTATTTTACGAGTCGACCATATCAAACTAAATGCGAGGTAAACTCATCATTTTTGGAACCATGCGAGTGGAAATCAAAGCTATGAAATCCAATTTCATTACAAATTAATACCAATGATCTGCCCTGATGAATAATTTAAATTTTGTGATTAAACATACCCTAATGTTTTAAGCCACGTTAAAAAAAAACACATGAAAGTGAGGTTTGTATAACGCGCTCCAATCATAAAATAGTCTGGCACCATCCCATTCATCAATTTGCAATTTATAAAAGAGATTCAGGGAACACGATCGAAAATGTAGTGTGAAATTTGGATTCCTTGAACTTGTGCAGTGCGTTCGATTACTTCCCCCGCGATTACTTCCCTTACTCGTGCAAGCGCGACAGCGTTCGATTTACCTCTCACGTGACTTCTCACGCTAACTCGAGCCTGGCCCAAGTAACCGACTCACTGAGCCGGTTACTTGGGTAAGTATCCCATAAGGCCATGCAATGTCCGGCGGTCGCCTCAGGCCGTGTCCGAATTAATGTAAACGGGCTTCCACGGAGCATACTACAGACCCTATATGTAGCTCTATGCACGGAGCTACGGCTACGAATTATTGTCAGCGCGTCCCCGCGTATTTTCAACGGGCGTGGGCGTGCTCTATAGCCTAGCCCGGGGAGAAAAGTGTTGCAACCTGACGCCACTTCCGCGATTGTGTACAAAGTCTATGGAGAGTCAAGACAATTTTCTAAGTATTTCCTAACAAAATTGGCAAAGCAAAAAAAAAAAAGGAAAAAAAAAAAGAGAAAAAAAAGGGGCGAGAAGTCATATTGGTGTAAATTTAATGGGGGGCAAAATGTCCCTGCCCCCCCCCCCCCTCTAAAACTGATAAATCGAGAATATGTTGAGAAATACAGGAATTTTTTGGGAAAATATGTTTTGCCCCCTTCTAGAAAATAATCCTGGCGACGCCCATGTTTCCAGCTCTTGCACGAAACTTTACCCAAAACCGTTAGTTTATTTAGCGCCACTGCGCATGTCTGTTATAACGCGAGGAGCCAGGCGCGAGTAAGCTGAGGGAAGTAATCGAACGCACTCATGGACTCATTCATTGTACCACGCATGCCTCGTGAGAATCGCCTTGCCTGTGAGGGTTGCAGTGATCGAGGTTTATCCAGATTTCATAGGAGATCCAAATTTCATATGACACCACCAGCAGCGGGTTTGTGCGCTTGCTTACAGCTTGGCAGCAGTTTCACCCATAAAGGGCCTATTGAACTCTGCTCACGGATTGCAGAGGGCGCTGTTTAGCCAACTCGCGAGGGCCGATAAAGGACATACGGAATGAGCTAACTCATCCACTCGTGCGAATGTCGCGGAGTCAATTCGCGCGACCCGTTTTCAAACAGACTAGTAGCGTTCCGGAATCGAACCGGCAAACCGTATTAGGAGCGACGAAGATTTTGGTACCAGAAAGGCGAACTGTATATGTATCAATTTAGCACTGATTAGATAGACCCTGAAGTCATTTCGAACGACGGCAGACGTCGATCGTTCGACCATATTATGCATGGTATTTGTGAAATCCCGAGCATTTTGGTGTCACGAAGAGCCTCGCTTAATATTTCCAGGAAATTACATCGGCATGAAGTTGATGTTATTAGTGTCATCTTTTACTCTTTCCCTCAGGCGATGCATCCGTGACGTCAAATTACAGAGCAATTCACTGGAGCTGCGGTGATAACGGACCAGACTTTTCGTGAACTGATCATCAACATCCCTTCTTAAAGCTAGCACCTCCAGAGATTTATATTTGGCGGGACCTTTTGGCGTCGGGATGGTGCAACTTCCAAGAACTCCCTCGCCAACTTACTATATCCTCAGTGTTTTCTGAGAGCTTGTGTGAAGACAAACTTCACAAGCTTCATCGGTTGGACTCAAACCCACGACCTCCCATTTAAGAGACATTTGCGTGGCTCTACTTGATCATAGTAACATTATTATTAATAAGCAACCACTGGTTTCCTGCTCGATGATATGTACACATTGACATATATTCAGACTCTGCTGTATGACCAAACCATTGGACCAAACTTTCAGGGCACCAGTGACACAATTCAAAGTCTACATTTTTGACGTGCTTATGGTAACAATCGAACGAAAACATACGGGTGCACCTGACTATATTTGATGTTCGTCGTTGGTGCACAGATACGAGTCTGGGTACTAGACCTTCACAAGTGCCATAATTTTAGATGAAAAATAATCTGTAGAGATTCTTGGTAAAACCTCGCAAATTCGACCAATCTACCTCCTTACGTCTTGCGTTAATAACTATGTCTGCATGAACTGGAGTTGAAGTAAACAGTAGGCCATCACTTGAACTTTAGATCTTCGAAAGTCTCACTTGCTTATTCTTAATTGAAAAAAAAAGAGATTGTACAGAGAGATACAAGTGTGTAAGATGGAACTATCAATCGAGTACATATACGACATTGACTGTAGCAATGGGACCGACAGTGGGACCGACAGTGACACCGGCTGCTCACCGGAAATCCACCCGATCAGAGTGGCAGTGCCGGTGTTTATAGCCGTCTTTAGTGTGGTAGGCCTTGTCGGTAACGTCTGCATGATGTACGCAATCCTGAGATACAGTCACATGCGGACCGTCCCCAATGTCCTCATCTTCAACTTGGCAATGGCCGATTTGCTGTACATCTTGGTCACCACGCCAATTTACGTCAAACACGAGTTAGAGCCGGCTTTCCACCTCTCGGCGCCCGCGTGTAAGCTCAAGAACTACGTTGCGTTCGTGGCCCAGCACGCTAGCGTCTTCGCCCTGGCGGCGCTGAGCCGGGAGCGCCACTCTGCGATCGTGGGAGGGATGGAAGCGCGCCGGGGCGGCGACTCCTGCGCGTCCGGCAGCAGAGTCACGGTGGCGGTCATGTGGCTGGTCGCTTTCATCGTCTGCATCCCAACCCTGGTCTTTGCACACGTTATCGGTGAACAGTGTAAATACTCGCCGAGTGATAGGTCTCTGGCCCGGGTCTACGAGTGCCTGCATTTCCTTGTCGGCTACACGATACCGTTGATCATCGTGGGGTTCTACTACACAAAGATAGCTATGTCATTGTTCCACAGTACACACAGGTAGGCAAGTTTCATAGCACACGTATTTTGTTATCCTTAGGATGCAATGACGTCACAGTTTGTTTAAATGTGCGCTGTCTTATGGGAGCCAGGTGTGGACAAGATCCACCAAGCCCCCATAGGAATTAAAGCGCAATCAACGCTGCAAATTAACCTTGTATGGCGTGGGTACGTCGTTGTTAATTGTTTCCCGCCAATTCTTGAGCTGTCATAGTCTTGATTCAAGCCGACTATAAAGTGAATTAGTACTTTCAGTAGAGGGAGATTTCAATCCGACTAATATTGTCTTGGAAAGTCTGTAATTATTATCACAGCAATACATACTTATGCATTTGGTAAAATATGTATCTTCTCCCATAATCAGAGATGCCACCAAAATATCAATAAAAAGCCTGAAATACTACTAAAAAGCCTGAAACTACCCTCACCCCCTTTCAAAAATGTGTTTTCTGGATGTTTCAGACCAAATCCAGCACTTTTAATTTGTCACATTTTTTAAAAGAAAACCTGAATTCAGGTTAAAACCTGAAAAGCGGCATCTCTGCATAATTATGATGACAGAGATCCTGACTGGCCTAAGTTCAGCAATAAACTTGTATGAGCACTCTTGGGGTAGTCAGACATTGACGTACGTGCGCAGAGCCACGGCATATGGTCTGATATATAGCATGCACATTTTACGTGACCCCGCGCGGCAGCCAATCGGAGTCGACTTTAGAAACTGTGACGTCTTTTCGATCAGAATTGTGGACTAAGCTGTGGATTAGTCCATTTGGCTGCCATGTTTTTGTAGTACAACAACTGGTTACGGAAGACCAGATAGAAGCCGCCCGCAGAATGGTCAGAATTTGGAGGTCGAGACTCAGTCCTGTTTTGGCATAATTCATCGCCGAATCTACTCGCATATCATAGACCATTATTCCAGTAGGCTACACTTGAGGTGGGAATCAGGGAAAAAAAACTACGGGAGGATTCGTGTTGGCAAGCTTCCGCTGAGCGAGCATCACCATCTACTATTTGAAAGATGGCGACGCTACGGATGTAGGCCTTCAAGGTGCGTGACACAACTTCAATTCATAAAACAGTCGTCCACTCTAAACACTTTTCTGCCTCTTCTCTTTTGTCAGTTTTCAGAACGACTACGTGAGCGACGCCATGGCTCAGCAAATCCGAGTGCGCAAGCGCCTTGCCGTCTCCGTGCTGGTCATCGCCATCTTCTTTGCCGTCTGCTGGTTCCCATACTTCTTCTACTACCTCTGGATCAACTTCGCCCCGCAGGACGAATTCATGCTGGTCCCCTTTCCCTCCGCGGCGGACGTCTTACGCTACATCGGTTTGGTCGCGCCCGTCATCAACACCTGTATGGATCCCTGGCTACTCTTCGTCATCAGCTCGCGCCATCGGGCCTGTTTAGTCAGGTGCCTGTGTGGTGGTTGTTTCTGCTGTAGCAGAGAGGGCGCCCTCGAGAAGCGAGACGGACAGGGCATGAGCATGACGACGATGTCCCGAAGTCACACTGGAAAGTCCCGGATGTTCCCTGGAGCCGGCACGAGCTTTTCGCGCTTATCTCGGGTTTGAACAACTCGATGAACATAAATTAACAACCATCATTGCAACAATACAATAATCTAGAAGGACTCACCACCACCTCTATCTCTCCATTGCAACCGCCGATCTGCTGTGATAAATGTAGAAATATGGGTTTCAAAATCATAAAGTTTGACATCCTTACTACATGTAGGCGAGACCGGGAGCGTAGTTGGTTTATGTCTTGAATCGGCTCCAATAAAACATGGCATGCCAGTGCCGTGGTCTCATGGTTTGGGGCATTAAATTCGTGGTCTGCGGGTTATTCTGCAGGTTGTGGGTTTGAGCCCAGCCTGGGCTATGCCTAATATGGGTACAGGCATTATTAATGGCCTTGCTGTGGACTAATTTACCATCCCAACCCTATTCATGCTGGATTAATTTTATCTTGTCTGTTTTCAGTGTGAGGAGCTGGTTCTTCCACACTTTCCTCTGTAACCCACACCTCGAGTGGCCTATGTCCTTGTAATGGGCGATTGGCATGAACAATTTTTTTTTTTTTTAATCCTAAATTGTCTCGTATTAAAGAGCCAATCAGCGCTCACTCGTCGCTTACGCACTGCAGACAGAGGGCGCCCTTTAAAAAGGGGCGGAGCATTTACAACTGATCCTCGATGTTTACTCGTATGGACTGGGGCCCATGCCCAGTGCATGATCGATTGTAACAATTAATACAATGTGGGACAATGACAGTATACTGTCCCGTGGAAATAGCATAGACCGAGAGGAATTCCTCCCGGTGTATATAAGGAATTATCGTATCGATATTCCCACAAGAGGATGTAAGATAGGGCCGACTTAACACAGAATGACTACCACTTATAATGGTAAAAAGAAAGAGGGGAGACCTCGGTCTGGATGGAAGGAATAACTGGTGGTAGAAACAAGGACAACAGCCTGGAAAAGGCATACCAAAGACAGACAGAAATGGCGTGCTGGGGGAGAGGCCTTTGTCTAGCAGTGGAACATACAGGCTGATCATTCATTCATTCATTCATTCATTCTTTATTATATTTATCACATCTCATTTCATTATGTGACAAGGCATAAATACATACATGTAGTTTTGGGTATTATAAAGTTCGAGCTTGTTTTACAAAATATATTTATACACTTTGGACGCATTATTTTCTAATTAGAGATGGTGGAAGGGGATCCCCAAAAAGCGGAGCTTGTCGAGTAGGGATCCCCTTTAACATGGATTAATACAAACATTTAATGAAAAACAAATGAAAAACAATTGAACGTATACATTTTAAATTGTACATAACACACGGGAAAACATAATATTGCTGATCAGAAAAAAAAAAATACAGAGTAGTAATGATGATGATGGTAGCGGTGTTGGTGATGAGGAGGGGACGGGGGAATGATGATGATAATCAACTAAAATTGTTGACTGCTGTGACTGGGATATGACGTTTTGAACACCCGAGGGGCGCATCTATAGCACCCGAGGCGAACGTCATATCCCACATCAAAGCAGTCAGCATTATTGTTTTGTTATACCTCTGTCTCGGATTCTTCGGATTTCTGTATCTGTATATTATAGTCGGTAAAGCATCTCAGGGGAAACATGTTAAAATAACGAAAACAAACAGCAATAAACAGTGGCGTAGCCAGGAATTTTTCAGTGGGGGCGGCGCTGGAGGGGGGGGGGCTGGAACATTTCATGGGGGGGGGGGGCGTCATGTAGATCAATGATAATTTTTTTTAGAAACTCAAAATCTCAGGGGGGGGGGGGGCGACTGGGGGCGACAAGGTTTCATGGGGGGGGGGGGGGGGCCACTGGCAATAAACACAACAATCATGACAACCTAACGGCAACTCACGTGCATGTCGCGTGCTCGAAACAGCTGATCGTCTGCTAGTTCGCTGCTCCCACTCATATGCGAAAACATGGTGAAAGTAGCGTGGGTACCAACGATACAAGCGTTTTACATCGTACGGACGTACACGTACTTGATGTCCCACAGAATGTGCCATGACGTTTTAACTTAACACGTGATCGTTCTAGGCCAATGGAAATACAGTATTCAAGACAGAGGTATAACAGTGATTATGTAAACACATAATCAATTTGTCGCGGCGTGAGTTACGAAAACACTTTTGCAAAGGTAAAATATTACAATCTTATCCAGCCAATATACAGTATCACATTTCATAATAATGTAAGCGAAATAGGAAAAAAAGGATGTTTTTGAAGTGGAGTGGATGTATTAACTCATAGCGAACGTTTAACTACGTAACACACGTTTTATTTAAAAACACAAAGTACACGATATACATCCATTACTGTATCGAATCAGGATACAGGAAGACAGTTCCCATCCAGGGGTTACTGTTAAAAGTAACCCCTGGGGACGAGGTTGGGACACATTGGATTACTCGTACCCAGTGTTTTAGTTCGGAGGCGTTGGTGACGACAATTCTCTCCTGTGAGTAAAAGAATGCAAGACATGGGTAGCCTTCGAACTCAGTCTGCCATCACAGCGTTTAAAAAAAAAGGTTAAAAATCGATTTAAAACATCATGCCGGAACTTCTTGTTATCATTGTAAATGGTCAGTGGTTTTACGTCTGTTAAACGGATAATGTTGTTATATTTTAATTGTAATATACATTTTTTTGTCTTTTTGGGTGGACTTCAATAAATATTCTGAAGCGATTAAAAACGTAATTGATTATCATGTTGAAATCGAGTATTGTAATATTGTAATAATGGTGTATTCTATACACACTTCTTTTTTCTTTCCAGTTTTGGGGTATATTATACCTATTTGTTTTCAAAACGCATTAATACAACAATTTGAAGGGGAAAAGGTGATAACGTTGCACGGTCATGAAAATTTATAGAACATATAACAGCCTTTTCTAAACTACGTCGAAACTGCCTTTTGGTAACCATGAGAGGGCGGCATTCCAAAAAGGTTAAACAAAGTTCACTCGCTTTTTACTTTATAATACAGTCTATGATTATTGTCAACCAAATTACTCTGGATATGACCGAATACTAAACTGTTTATGGAGAACAACAGACAATCCCCGTGAAACGTATGAACCATCGAATGCAACATGGTTCACCGCACACAACTGCAAAGCAATCGCAGCTTGAAGGCCAAATAATACGTGGTGGTTGTATGAATACTATAGAGAGTTTGAATAAATACTGCACTTTTGGTGGTTTGAGGTGATATTTAATGGTGACAGAGGACAAGTTCTCTTTGGTATGAAACTTGGTGAACCAACTGTGCCATGTCAATGGTGAGTAATGTAAGTACATGTAAACAAATACGAGCCAATGTGGCCCATCAGGCCGGCGTTTATCTCTCTGTTTCAGTAGCATGAAACGACAGAGAATATTTTTACTTCCCCTGGACGGGATGCTAGTCCATCACAGGTTACTCCCCAGCAAATGCCGGTACCCATTTTATACTCCTGGGTGGAGGGAGGAAAGTGAGGTGAAGTGACTTGCCCAAGGACACAACATATGGCCAAGAAGCTGGATTCGAACCCCTGACCCTCTGATCATGAGTCGCGAACCCTAACCACTAGGCCACACTCCACAAATGACGAGTATAGGCCCTATGGACTCTTATAATGAAATGTTGTAACTCATCTAAGTTTTGTTCGACCGTGGTAACTTCGCACTACCAATTTACGGGACCAACATTGTGCATGAAAACAAAATATTTTCTCTTCTTTTGTTCCTGTTATTTGGCCTTTAACTGTTTCTCTATGTGTCCCATACCCTCCCGAGGACTTATTGTTGTCACATGAAACTTCTGGGAAACTCCCCATTGTCCCAAGTCCTCGGACGTAAAAGATCACGGAATTGAGTGTGTTGAAATTTCCCTCGCGTGACTGTTAAACGAAATTCTATCCAATTGAAGCTCAAAAAGCTAGAGGTAACCGCCGCTTTTTAATGGGGCGTTGGGTACGAGAAAAAAGTTTCTACTGTACATGCGTACGACTGGCTTAAAGTCAACCTCTTTCCCGTATCCAGGAGTGGACGGTCGTGGCTCCTCCGAAATCGACACATCGGCGTCTCTGCGTCATATTGGTCGCCTTGTGTTTCCTGTGCACACTGGGTCTGTCCTTACTCAGCTCCGGTGAGTACTTTCCTTTCCTTGTTACCTCCGCTAGGTTATGTTTTCATCGGATTTGGTTAGTTTGTTGGTTGGTTAATTGCTTGGTTTGTCTGTTATGATAACCCAAAAAGTTATGGACGGATTTGCATGATTTTTTGGGTTTTTAAAAAGTTTTTTAGGGGTGGTCCTTGGTACAAGTACAAGTCGATTAGATTTTGGAAGTGATCCGGATCTGGGTCTGGATGCTTTTCCTGACAACTGAGGGCGCTTTTGCTGTGATGTCACTTTAGGAACACACTCCTCGAATGAGAGGTTTTTCCTTCAAACTGTAAACCCAAACTTCTGCTTATTGAAAACGTGTGCATAAAGCTTTCTCACTGTATTACTGTCATATATACTGAAACAACAAACCCCTAAAATGCTGGTGACTGTTATGTAAAACACAAGTTTCTGCCTGAATGACATCACAGTTTTGCTTATGAATATGGAAATTGTCATTAGCATAAACACCAAAGAGTTACATTTTTTTTGTAAATGGAACACAAATGTACATTTCAAGGGATGCATACAGTCTGGACCCTTTAACTGTTTCAAAAATATCTCCATAATTTATTTACATTTAAAAAAAGGAGAAAGTGAAACTATAACGATTGATGTTTCAAATGAGCATTTATTATTTAAATTTTGATTATTATACATAACTACTCTGATTGGAAGCATAAGACGAACTAATAACTATGTGCACGTTAATTTGTAGTACATTTGATTTGAAAATTAAATTGAAGAAAAAACAGCCCTTGCAAATATTCAGCATTTTGGAACCGTTAATGTACATGTAGTTGGTTTTAAGGTTTTCAGAGTTAGCAAATTAAAATAAAATATTTCTAGGCATACACCTGAATGTGTGAGGACAGTCTCTTCTAATTGACATTGTCCACGAGATCTATTTTGCACATCACTGTGATTATTTTTTGGTCAAAGTTTTTACAAGAGTATACACTGAAGAGAAGAACATTTACATATACCTTGACAAAATGTATCACATTTTTGGTCACTTAGTTCAACAGTCACAAGTAACGCGATCTGGATCTGGATCTGGATAGTTAATTGACAACGCCTCCACTGGAGTATCACGCCAATGGGGGTTCGGGTCCGTTTTCTTAGATGTGCTGGCTCATGTGCGATTTCAGTCTTTCCTTGCAGGATGGTGTAGGAGGTGCTTCGATGACAACGGGGGGCAGGGCATTCCAGTCGACGATTGTTTCGGGGGAAAATGAGTTCTGATATATCTCAGTTCTTGAGTTGAGATGGTTCAATCTTGCTGAATGTAAGCGAGTGCTCCTATATAGTTGGTGTCAATAATCGCCTGTCTGCCGCAGTAACACGTAGCTCCATTTCTGGTTTTGAAAACGTTGGTGAGTCTGGCTGCTTTCCTCCTGTTTAAGAGAGTTTGCCATTTCATTTCATCAAGCATTGATGTCACACTGCTATGTCTGCTATAGCCTATATAAACAAATATGGCTGCAGAGCTCTGCACTTTTTTTTAAGTTTGGTAATAAACATTTTTCTGTATGTAAGGGTCCCATATGGAAGCTGCGTACTCTATAGTGTCACAGTTCATTTGGGTATAGGATAGCTAATAAACTGATCTTGCAGCTGGATGATCACTGGATGACTTGTGATAAACTTGTGACGACTTGTTTTTAAATCCTGTGGTATACCTTGACCGAGGTCCAGTCTGCCACCGCCAGCTGCTCCGGTGCCGCGAACGTGATCCCCATCGGGCGCTGGAGACCCTCCGCCAGGCACTCCAGAAACCCCCCGTCAAGGTCGTAGTGGTGGATATGTCCAGTTCCATCTTCATCGTTGTCCACTGCAATGTAGATCCCCGTACTGTCACAGCAAACCCCGCTGCAGAACTCCACCGGCTTTCCTCTGATTGTAGGCTCGATGGTGGATTGTGGATTACCATTCATATCCACTACATCAGCACGCTGCTGCTTCTGTCCACTGATCACCATCCTGCCATTGCAAGCATCGTGGGCTAGGAAATCAGGTTGAATTTGCACCGGTACGGTGCGGAGTAGATCACCACTATCGGGGCTGTGCTCGGTCCACACCATCCTCTTGGCATCACCAACGACGATCAAGCCATCCTTCCTGACTGTCACACTCCGGAGATCCACCTCTGTTTTCTTAGCCTCATCTTCCTGTGACAGTGTGGTAAACTTGAAAGCCTCCTTATTTGCCTTGTCGAGTACCTTGACGTGCTTTGTGTGATCTACAACCACGAGTCGATTGTCACCGCCGGGAGTGACTGCTATGCCTGTTGACCCTGCGTGATTTTAAAAAAAAGTACGAAATGTTTTTGTCATCTTTTATAATGCATAACTTCCGATAGCAACATCACCGTGAAAACGGAGTACGACAATTTAACTGGTATAACTACTCAAACTGATATTTCATACGAATGACAGCACCTTACCACTTCTTTTATGGTATTCTCTGTGGTGTCCCTCGGTGCTAGTGAAGGCAATTCCGTCCGCCAAGAGGTCTGACACAGCAATCTCACCAGGCTGAGTAGCAGCGATCCCAAATGCCCCTTGAAACATCCCGGGACCTGTTCCCTCCTCGCCAAACTCGCAACGCAACTCCCACTTGCGCGGCTCCACTTCCAGCCTGCCAAGATTGACGTAGGACTTCTGACCAGGGACGAACCTCAGATACGAAATCTTGAGATCGAGTTTTGGGGGTTGTTTTCCACTTAGTGATTCCAGGTCTTTGCTGATGACGGGGTAGAGGGTCAGGAAGTTGCGCGCTGATGCCGTTTCGGTGACCTCCCTGGCTGCTTGAATGGAATGTCGTCTTCCCCGAAGCATCGTCTTCAGTGCCTCCTCGTGCTCATCAAGGATGCCCTTACCATCCTCTTGAAGACGTTTGATTTCTTCGGTCATCTTCTCCTCCTCGGCAGTTACCTGGGCTCTGATCTTAGCTGCTTGGTCATGTACCTCAGCGAGTGCTCTCGCGATCTGCCTTGCGAACTTCTGATTCGTGTCCGATGCATCGGCTAGACATTCTTCAAGCCCTCTGATGTCCTTGTCGACATGAGGAAAGGATTTTCTTCTTAGTAACTGCTTGCGTTTGAGAGAAGCCTCCCCGGAGTTGATGATGAAGCCGTGTTTCCGTACGCGGTGGCATTCTTTACAGATGAGCTCGTCACATGTCTCGCAGAAGTACTGCTTATGCCCCTGGTGTATGTGACATCCAGACCCATCTCCGGTCGTGCTTCTTGCAAGGGCTTCCACCTTCCCTTGGCGAAGCTCGTCGAGACTGGCTATGGTATGGCGGGAAAACAAAGCCATCCTCCGGTGGAATCGCTGACATGTTTTGCAGATGTACAGCGCACAGTTCAGACAACAATGTTTGGCCTCAATTCCCTCCTTGCATATTTCACAAATGGCCCTTCCGTGTTCCAAGCCCGCCACTTTTTCTTGGAGCGAGACCTCCTCTGCTTTTTCCATCAGGTGGAAATTTGTCTTCAGGCCTGATATGTGCTCGTCCGGGAGCACCGTCTCTCGTTGACAAGTGGGGCAAGGAATCTTTCGAGTGCCGACGTAGCTGCTCGTGTATTTCACCAGGCACTGCTCACAGAAGTTGTGCTGGCAATCGAGTATCTTGGGCTGTCTGTACCGCTCCTGGCAGATGCTGCATTCAAGATTGTAGATCTTCTCTGGATCAGAAGCCATTTTGTATACGAGTTCACGTGCTATTCGCCGACAATAACCTGTTTTAAAAAGGTGAAATGAAAACTCTGGCATTATGATACGAGTGACGACTGATGCTTAGAATTTGAGGCACTTATAAATTTGTCACATGAAAAGTTAAACACACGAATACCCGTTTATTCTTTTCCACTTCGATATGCAATAATTTTGTGCTCTCTTCTACATCATTGCATAATGCGCAATTTAAAGTGCTGTGGAAAATGAAACCAAGGAAACTTTGTTCTCGTAAAAAGGCCAACATTGCCTTCTCACATAATATTCACGAACCTTAGCCAATTCTTTGCCACTTTGGTCTTCAAAAATCCGTCGACGAAATCACTGGAAGAATCTTTATGACAACACGTCAGGAAATGTTCACTTGGATGCAAAGGATACGATCACACGGCTGCCAACGTTCGTTTCCGGCTAAAACTGGCAAAGATGGCGACGAAAAAGTACACTGAGCTTCAGCATAAATATCGTGGCCCGAACACAAAGCTTGGGCTTTTGAATGAAGGGCTGTCGTCCCGTGCCCAAACTATTTCGAAGAGCTATTCATCTTGGTTCATACGTACTTTCAATTGGCATTGTGCATAGCCGAACCTTTGACATTACACGTACCGTCATTTTTACCCGGACAAATATGGAACTACGTGTACAATGCCGTGCTTGTGTGGTTTAATATGAAGAGGAAATATTTTTGCAAGTATTGAAATGCAATGGTGGATGTTGTTTCTGTGTGAGCTCGGCCTTTGGGCGCAAGGCTTGGTTCCTGAAAGGACTACTTGACAAGCTACTCGATAACTTCTGGTGGAATTTTTACGTCAGGGAATTAGCTTTGCCGTTCACTGACGGAATTTTACAAAGACTGTAGATTTTGTCTAGGAGCTTTTGGGGGAGAAAATCAATCCTGTTCACGTTTTCACACTGACAGCCAACAAATCAGGCAAATGGATGTTTCAGAAAAAACACTATGTGCCAATGGCGATGGCACCTTTAAGTAATATCCCACCAGAGTTGCTTTCCAATGAAAATGGATAATTTTCTTCTTGTCACATTACCCAAGTGATATACTGTGTGGATTAGTTGACTTAATATAGATCGTGCCCTTCGGCCTGCAGAGGGGTGTATAGTGACAACTTTGGTTGAAACCTCATTGAAGATGAGAAATTTGATTAAACTTGTGACCTGGGGCGAACGCTTCCTCGTACACGCACCGCCTTCAAACGGAATTTAGATGTGCACTGATCATATTGGCAAGCACTGTGAAGCTACAATGCTTGTTGTTCCGAATGCTTTATGTTTTTGAAAAACAGCCGTCAACGGCGCCCTCAGGCGGTGAGCAAGAGGTATATAAGTGTGATCTCAGAGAGGAAAGTGCCCAAATGAAACGGTTATTTTTAGCAAATAAAACTCTGACGGGTAGAGGAAAGAAACCTTTTTGTTTCATGTTGATGACGGCATTGGTATGCAGATGTTACAAAAATATGATGTTTTGCACCAAAATAAGGCAAAATTGATAAAATGTCCTAATTTCATGGGAACGCACCACGAGTCTTCTACATTTATCTTGGAATACAGTGAGAACTTAATTCCATTTTTCCTAGAAACAAAAACAAAATGAAACAACCATGTTAGGCATTACTAACCATTACCTCTTCTTTTTTATCTGATAGGTTACCGGAAGCCATTCGTTGTTAGGTATCCACAACGACCTCCGACTGCTCTGAGCGGTCGGCAAAATAACACCGTCAGAGAACAAACAAGAACAGAACAAAATTCCGACAAGGTAATATTAGCAGCAGCCCTAGCACACCAATATCGTGCTACTTCGCGTCCTTATTTATACGGAGGTTTTGGTTGGCCTACGCATTTTAGTTTGTAATTACCAGGAGTGGTATAGACTCCAGTGATTTTGTCGCAGTCGAATGTTCTTTATGTATGAGATATAGTAAAGGGGAAATATATAAATATAACATGGTTTGCTTCTGGTGGATAGTCGATATGGAAGTTGACGGATATTTCGCCTCTTGAGCTATTCTGTCCATTTTGTCTACCCCTCTGGGAGCTAACAACGATTATCCATCCTCAAACTATGCTATATTATTTTGTATATTTACCCCCTTTTTCAGCCAAAAAGCGATTCAGTGGACGGGCAGGAGCGAGTCCAATTGGACCGCAAGAGGGCGCTCGACCGAGTCTGCAAGAAGCACCCTGAGCTAATGAAAGTCAGCAGAATTAAAAAGAAGACAACACTGAAGAGTCTGATGGTCATGAACAAAAGCAAGATTCTGTACTGTGTTGTCCCTAAGGTATTACCACTGAAAGTTTTAGATGGGCAAATATTCTAGACTCCACAAATTGATTTTCGATTTCCCTGTTATAACTTTCAACAGGTTAGAAACCCTTTATTATAATCATTATACCTCTGACAAGACAACTACTCACACCTAAACTTCTGGAACACTTGACACGTGACGCCTGCCAAATTCCCTTTAAAACTGGCATGATATAATGGACTCTATCAAGGGGTGTCGGACGCTTCGCCCCATTTCCACGTCGCCCCATGTCACTTCGCCCCTAACCACTTCGCCCCATCCCCACATCCCCCCATCTCCGCTTCGCCCCATCCCCACTTCGCCCCATCCCCTCTTCGCCCCATCCCCACTTCGCCCCATCCCCACTTCGCCCCATGTAGTATGAAAAAGATGAAGGCTATAGGGTGCAGACCAAATAAACAGCCAAAGACCCCAGATAATAAATGCTCCCAATTCTAGAAACTCAGGAAAAATACAAACTCTCTGATGAGGTGCTCGAGACACAGATGAGAGAAATGATGGCTCTATCCCATTCAGAGACGCCTCTCCTATTGGCTTGTGAATAAAATCATCAGCCGCTGGATTCAAAAGAACCCGTACTATGGGTCAGTGAGTTACAAGGAACTCACTGCCTTGAGGAAAATGTTCCGTCAAAATTTGTCTGATATGTGACACTTACAACTTCATTTAGATGAGATTGGTTCCTCCAAGAGTGAAATTAGAATGTCAAAGGTATTGTCGTTCTCAGATAAGTGGGAGACGGGTTGGTATACAATGTAGCTGGGTTGGGAACAAAGTTGGATCTCAGTTACTTCAAGCTTTTTTCTCGGTAGGGGAGAGCCTAGCTTGAGAGGTTGGTTATGAATTGTTCATTTGGTGATGGGCTAATTCTTTCCGTTGGTTAGTGAATCTGTTGAAATTGTTTTTTTTAAGCCAATAAAATAGATGAGATTTTTTTTTACATGTAACGGCTGGGGCGAAGTGGGGATGGGGCGAAGTGGGGATGGGGCGAAGTGGGAATGGGGCGAAGTGGGAATGGGGCGATGTGGGAATGGGGCGATGTGGGAATGGGGCGAAGTGGGGATGGGGCGAAGTGGTTAGGGGCGACGTGACATGGGGCGACGTGGAAATGGGGCGAAGTGTCCGACATTCCTATCAAGTACACATTGACCAACTCGTCCCTATATGGTTTGCTAGTGGAAATAAGCAATTAAGGTTAATTGCCTTGCCTATGGACACAACTACAGTACCACAAAGACTCTGAAAACACTGACTCACAAAAAATGAGACTGCTACACCATAAACTGTTTTAAGGGTAATGACAGACACAGGAGGGCACTATTCAGAGTGAGTATAATTGGAAGAATCAACAAAAACGTTAATGTCTCAATGGACCGCGCACCGCCCCATGGTATTCTGACCAATCACAGCCGTGATTTATGTCCGACATGCGTGCACAAAAGTCCGACATGTGCAAGCGCGTATGATGCGCGCGGCAGGAAAATGCAGTGTGGCATTGGAGAGGAGCACGCGTTATTTTGCCCACGTGCGCAGTGGGAGGGGCTTACTGGATCGGTCCATTGCATTTAGGCTATGGTCAAACAATTACCCGTTTACCACTCTGAATCTAGTAGTGGCGGTATAACTGGTAATACCTTATGATACATGTTAACCACTACGAATCTGGAGATATAACTGGTATGACGATTACCTGTTTACCACTCTGAATCAAGGGGAGGTATAACTGATAATACCATAGATGACTCTGTTTACCACTCTGAATCTAGCTGGTAATAATACCATAGATTACAGTACCTGTTTACCACCCTGAATCTAGAGGTATACCATAGACGACTACCTGTTTATTTACCACTCCGAATAATGGATGTACACCATTAATGATTACCTGTTTCCCACTCTGAATCTGTAGGTATAAAATAATACCATAAAAGCTGGTTCTGGTGTAACCCCAATTTCTGCAGGTTGGATGCACTAACTGGAAGCGCGTCTTTGCAGTCTTGGAAGGACATCGCCCCTCGATGAATATATCCTCGGCTCAAGTCCATTTCAATAACTCTATACAGAAACTTTCGTCTCTTCCCTCCTCCAAAATCGGCCAGGCTCTGCAAGACTACAAAAAGTTCTTCTATGTTCGCCACCCGTTCGTCCGTCTGGTCTCCTTCTACCGCAACAAGCTTGCCGGCAGCCAGCTACAATGGCAGCGCTTCGCCAGATCAATCGTTCAGAGGTACCGCAATGTGGCGCCCTCCGGGCTCGACTCGGCGATCGCGAGGGGCCGGAGTAACTCGAACGTGACGTGGGAAGAATGGATCGCTTATCTGACCGACCCGTCCAACCTGGACGGTTTTAATGCCCACTGGAAAGAAGTCTACAAGCTCTGCTCTCCTTGCCGAGTGCATTATGATTTCATAGGCAAGCTTGAGACCGTAGACTCGGACTCCAAGTACATGTTTAAATTGTTTGGCCTCCACAATGCGACCTACCCATCTTATAGTCGGTCCAATGTGAGCAGCTCAGACTTATACGAGCAGTACTTTTCCCGAGTTGAGCTAAAGGACCTTCAGAGGTTGTGGGAGATATACAAACTCGATTTTGAACTATTTGGTTACCCCAAGCCGAAGGAACTGAACAAATATATTCCAAAGTCTGGAATTCGTTGGAGAAATCCTCACAAGATTTAACATGACTGTACCTATTTATTGAAACTAAATTTAAAGTGCTCGTTGTCACCATGCTGTCAAATGGAATATTTTTAATTGTTGGTTGGTTATTTGTGATTTATGTTATCATCTTGGGATTAAATCAAATCGTTGTTGTGGATCATGCACAATCCAATTTTATCGAATTGTTATGGCTTATATTTTAAGAACCTAGCGTTTGCGTCAATGTACATATTTATTTGATTTCACCCTCAGTTCACAACTTTACTTACTTGATCATCCCCCAAACTTTTTTGCGGTAACGTGAGAAACAAAATAGGCAGATTGAGGTATTTTTTCGAACTTCCCAACAACCAAAATGTATTCAATAGTACCAAAAAAGGGAGAAAAAGGGCACAAGAGCTTTAAATGCGCCGTTTTATGTAAGGTTAAGGGGCGTAAGTACAAGCTAGTATACATAATAGATGCATATCTGTATCATGAACAGCGCCCCTAGTGTCATGTGGTATCCAGCAAGCCCCCCCCCCCCTCCCCCCGGGCTTTTACAATTTCTACGGCTGGGCAAATCATTGTTTGATTTTAGTCATCCCCCATCTCTCTCCCCCCCCCCTCCCCCCCAGTCCACGGCACAGATTTATGCCACTGGAGCGCAGGCATCTTTTTTTTTTCAATATAGCGATGGGCTTCAGAACTACTCTTAGGGATGATCATCTTTGGATGGAATTTTCTCCCAAATGTCATCAGTTAACTCCCTACAAATTGGACAGAAAATGCAAGATGATGAAATAAGCTTTAATTGTATATGTGTGTATTAAACACCTTGGAGAGTTGTGGTTATAAAATTTTTCCCTGAATTTCGGAATAACGGGGTTATATGGCAGTAGCTACCGTCACATGCATGTCGTTTTGTTGTGCGCCGTCTTCGCTACAGGGCGCCCCCTTGCGGCTATCTCGACTGTTAAATTTCCAAACTTTCTACTTTTCGTTTTGTTTACAAATTATTATTTTGTTTTATAGCTTCAATTATGTACCTGCATCCAACAGCCCTATAACTTATCTTCGATTGGAAATAGTTTGGCGAAAGGTGAAATTAATGCACAAAAATAAGTCAAAAGTTTTACCATCTTCGCAAAGCGCAAGTCGGCAACTTTATTTGCATAGGAATGCTCCATTGTGTCACGTGACCAGGGAAGATTTTTTTTTTTTAGGCCGTCGACTTGCCCCACCATTGTTTGACAACTTCAAGATAAACATCCTTATGTTTGCCAGGCAATTCATTGACAAACAAATCAAAAGTGCTTCGAAGCGTCGACTATTGTGTCCTTAGTGTTTATCGCGAAGGCTTTGGTGGAATAATTGTTGGAATAGCAAACACATTTGCGGTTAAATTTTGGAGGAAAGAAACCTGGAAGTTTGAAGACGTTCGATGCGGTTTCTTGAGAAGTTCACTTTGTCTGGTGTGGCGTGCGGATAGGGAAAAGACTGTATTTTCGACATCTTAGTTCAGTACTCTTCATGCGATGTTCAAAGGTAGGAATTGTGCTTAGTTTGATGATTCAGAATTTCAGATATCTCCTTGAAAATTACTAAGGAGATAGGCCTAACATAGTATCACTTTCCATGTAATATTTATAATGTTAGGCCCTTAACTTTTAATTTTTTTCTTCAGCATTTATTTTGGGGGGGGGGGGTTCTTCATTTTATTTGACCTTTGGGTATAACAAATGAAAATGCTTATATCACTGTAACTTAATCCCAGGACTGGAGTCCTAGGTATTCAAGGAACCATGTTTTTTTTTCTCCAAATAATGAGGGTTACAGTGCATGGAATTCCCAATAAATTTACGCTGACTTCTTTGGGAAAGTTTATATAGGAAAGTTACAGAAATGTATTTTATTAAATTCTACGCTTTTATATTTTGTTATATGTATCGATTTCTTCTTCTAAAACAAGAAAAATTGCACAGAGTTTGTTCTTAATTAACCCTGAAACTTGGAAATTTACTTGGAGTTTGTGGTTTCAGTAAATCCCACAGAAGCTGAAAGCTACACGTACGACGCTTGAGTAAATTTCACTGGAAAGATGGAGATCAGGACAGTACCAACCAACTATCAAAGTTTGTTCTGAGCATAAAAAGATGTAGATGAATGAGTTAGCATCTGCAGATTCGGAGAAAGTGATGACAAAACGTTGGCCAGGAATACAAAAATCCTACCCAGAATAATTTTCCAGAATGGAGAAGAAAACTTCAAAACCATGTTGACTGTGGAATCTTAACTTTCTCAAAATATTCTTGAGAAAAAAAAAGCAAAAAGTAACGTGAACACCATGGGCAGATTTTCCGTCACGTATTGCACCTTGACTCTCCTTGCCTGGACATGGACAATACCGCAAAGCCAAGCCGTGAACCTGACTATTTTCGATGGTCTGGGCGCGCCGTCCTGCAAGCGACCGAGCACGTGCGTTCCGGTCATGAATTCAACGTGCTTAGGCTCGTCCATCCAGCATTCCTTCACATCGCTGGATTTAGCCAACGACTCAGTCACCCAGGAGGATATTTTGCGCAACTTTCGCATGTGGGAGGGGCTACGACTGGTGCCGAAATGCTGGGAAGTGGTCCAGCCTTTTCTCTGCGCCGTCTACCTGCCGAAATGCGAGGACGGAATGGTGGAGCTACCCAGTTACGACATGTGTTCGGTTACCAGGGAACCATGCCGTATTGTGGACATTGAGCACGGCTGGCCGGAGTTTGTGACGTGTGACGAGAGCCGCTTTCCACCCGATTGTGACGTAGGTTTTTGAGGCAACAACAAAATATCAGTATGGCAGCAAATAAGTTGTCTTTTTTCTGCAAAATTGTCGTGCAGTGATGCAGGCCCAGCATTCAATTGTTTGTTGCAATGCCCATTGAAAGTCTCGCTGAGTGCAACTGTTAGGGTTTCACTCGGGAGCTTCAGGGCTTGCGCTCTCGTTATTTCTTACACAGTGTTCCCAAGTGAGGTATCAAATTGAACCGGAAAGTTTCCCTGACAGAACGTATATTTCAGATTTTTTTGTTCACTGAGAAATGTCCAAACAAGGATGTTATATAAACTGCTTTGTTTCTTTTTGTGCCAGGTATATACAACATTGCAAAATATTTGAAGACGACAGAAAGTATATTTCAGAATTTAATTTTTAGAGAAAAAAAAAATTGTAATACAACTCGTGTATATAAAACCAAACTTCCCCAAACCAAATCTAACCTACTTAAAAATCGAATAGTCAATCAACCACAAAGGGAAACTGACTTAGTGCATAATAATATATTATTTTGTTTTAAAGTTGAACAAAGAAATTGACTGGAGCGGGGTTTGAACCCTTGACCTCGGGTTTGCAGGTTTCGGTGCTCTACCAACTGAGCTGCCCAGCCCTATGTTGGCGGTTTCCAATTTTGTCAGTTTTATTTCAATAAAGTGTGTCTGTTAATAAACAATAAACAATGTGTTTTCAAACTCTTTCCCACAGAACGTTTACAAATCCATCACCTTCAACACGACGGGCGAGTGCGAGCCCCCGTTGGTTGCCACGGACAACGAGAAGAGCTGGTACGAGACCGTGGAAGGATGCGGCATCCAGTGTCGGAACCCCCTCTTCACGGACGAGGAGCACGCGCAAGTCCATCTGTTTATCGCGGTGTTCGCGAGCGCGTGCGTCGTCTGCACGTTCTTCACTCTGGTGAGTTTTTGGGAAAAGTGCCTAGCACACCGAGACATTAATCCGAGGAATATTTTGTACTTTTGAGTAACCAGTGGTTTTTATTTATTTACCTGAAAGAATTAAGAAAATTGCCTTGTAAATATTGTTCAAAAGTGAAACAATAGACACAATTTCAGGAAGACATTTTGCTACATGCCTTCCATTGATAAATTTTGTTACAACATTTTATTGAAGTAAGGAATATCAGAACTCTATTTTAAATTGGTCCGCCAAAACTGAAGTGTAGTTTTTTCCTATTGCATGATAACCAAAGTCTTGGAAACTGTGTGATTCTGCTAAATAATTAATAGTCTTGAATTATGTTGCAATGGTCTTTGAGATTTTTCAGACAAACATGAAGACGCACACATGAACCAAAACAGCCTGTAATTTCACAGAAGCAATTTTCTGTGTACCAGTTTGTTTGCTGTGGCGTGCCTCAAAATACTCCCCAAACAAACTTCAGACCCGTTCTCTAGGGAAAATTGCCTTCCCTTTCATGCCTTTATCATTTCCCATAAGTTTCCAAGTCAGAGACTCGGCCAAGCACTAACATTTTGTAACAAAAAATGAAAGCTTTTTGAGTAATTTATTTATTTGTGTAGTGCCGATGTTGCGCACCATTTAAATGCTATCTTTTAGTTTCTATATTTACGCTCGGCCCCTGCTAGTAACTTCTCCAGCTCGCTGGTCCAGTGATCTCATTCTATGAATAGGTACAATGGGCATTAGTTAGTCATTGAGGGAGTTGGGTAAGGGGTTTGGGCGCCCACAAAAGCCGCCCATTCAACTTTTGTTATGGCAAGAAGGAAAGTTTGCAGAGTTACAGGTACTTCTTATTGTAGAAATTTGGAAACGGGTAGCAAATTTTGTTAAAATGTAGGCTACCTGCATACATACCTAGGGACATTTTTGAAACATTTGACTTATTTTGTATTTTGGACGTTTCAAATACTTTCAAATACACTTTCTTACAAAGATTTTTACCTGATCCTTTTTTTACAAAAATTAGTTCTATTTTTTGGCCAAAAGTCAATTCACAGAATTGATCAAGTCCAGCCCATAAAATTGAAATTCAACTGGAAAGGAAAATACAGGACGTTTACTTTCAAAATAATACCAATGAAACAGTGAACACTTATTTCAGTATTTCAACCATTTTGTATTTTTTTTTTTTTTAATATTGCACATTAAGCATAGTCACATTTTAAAAATGCATTTGCAGTTTAGAAATTCATATCTGTCTGTTGTGTCCTTATAATTCTCCAAGTATTCGCAACAATTTAATAAACTTGATCTGGATTATACATGTACTGTACGTGAAGTAGAAATAGAGAGCAATACAGTACTGTTGTGCAAGTATCTTGCCAAAACCGCAAAAGGAGAAACAATTTTCAAATCTTGGCAAGCCTATTTGTATCGCATTCATGACTTCAGTACTAGGAAGGCGAGCAAACAAAGTTCTTTGAATCACTTTTTCCCTGGAGGAAGGCCGGTTGAAAGAAGATCCTGATCCTCGACAAAAGAACGGATCATCCTTTTTCTTCTCTGGCCCTCCCCTTTGGGTTGGATTTTTTTTTGGTTTCATTGTGAAGTCATTTTGTTTATTGAAAGCGCAATGCAGTGAAAAAAAAATCTGATAGTTACTCAAGCCTGTTTACAGGGTGAGTCAACAAAAACGAAACCCAAATGGCAGGACAAATTTTTGAATGAAGTTTTGCCTGTAGCACTTTCAAAATCTAGGATATGAAAGCCCAGTCATTAAGCTTTCTTTTAGTACAAGAATCATTTAAATCACACACGTACTTTTCAAGTTACAGAATTTTGAACACAGACACCGTTTTAAAGTTCTGTCCACGGATCACCAAAAAAGTGTTCTTTCAGGGCAACGAAAACAATTCTCATACTCGTAGGGATGCATGTGAATTGTTTTTGTTTCGCAAAAGAACACTTACGTTTTTTATGATCCGTGGACAGAACTTTAAAACGGTGTTGTGTTAAAAATTCGGCACTGATTGTGGGGCAGGAACCAGGCTTCCCCACGAACGGAATCATGGCAGCCAATGATTCAACATTGTAAAGTAATAAATAAAAACATTGGCTGATTTTTTGGTTATTGCCTGTTTCAAAAGTTAATAACTTTTGTGTATTGCTAGAAAAATAGCAATTTAGAAAAGGAATTCATATTTCAGGATCAAATTAGGTTTTGCCCTTCACCGACGTTTTTTAAACATTGTATACTCAGTGTGTTACCTCCCGAGTGAAAGTTGGAAAAAATCACTCGGGTGAGTATACAGTGTTTAAAAAACGTCAGTGAAGGGCAAAACCTAATTTGATTTATATCACCCCGACGCAAAATTCCATCTTATAATATTTCAGGATGAAAAGTTCTCAAAAAAATAGTATAGTAGACTCTCGTTAATACAAAATTGTTGGGACCTAGCCAAATTATTTGTTATATCAGAATTTTGTATTAAGAGGAACATCAGTCTCATTCATTGTGCACATAAATGTACAGTCGGGACCAAGGCTTTATGTTTGCTGCAACCAGAACTTGTCTTTGTTCTAACGAGAGTCGACTGTACAACGTTTCCCTTGCCCTCCACCAGATCACCTTCTGTGCGGACTGGAAGAACTCCAGCAAGTACCCAGCCCTGATCCTGTTCTACATGAACGGTTGCTTCTTTGCTGGCAGTGTCGGGTTCCTGGCCCAGTTCCCCAGCGGTGCTAGGGACGACATCATCTGCCGGAAAGATGGCACTATGCGCCTTGCTGAACCAAGGTAATCTAGAATTCATCCATTTTTTTTTGGGGGGGGGCGCATATTTTTCACATTAATCTTTAAATATCTAGTGCTAGGTTCACACATTCCCGAATTAGTTGTGAATGCAACAAGAAAAAAAACAGAATTGAAATTGGTTCCCGAATCACCCGATAATTTTGAACATGTTCAAATTTGTCAGGAACACTTCCCGATCTTTAACAATTTTTCCGCCGAACAAACAGAATCATCCCGAGGCAGCCAAGAACCATTTCCGGATTTACTCAAGAATTGGTATATGCGGCAATTTCGGCTTAAAAATCGGGAATGTGTGAACCGAGCATAAAATTGGCAAAGTCCAAGACTAGCAAGAGAGTCAATTTTTTCCCAGAAACTTGAATAGTTGAAAATGCAGAAGAGCTGTCATAAGAGTTTAAATTCTGCTGCAGAAATTCTTTGAATAAGGATGGTTTTTTTAACCTTAACTCCCTAGCATGATTTACTAGGAACTATACCCATCCTGGCAAATTCTAACCCCATTATGGGAAACTGCACACACATATTTCTGACTTAGTTTCTGGAGGTGTGCCAACCCAATGTAAAAGACTGTCAGTTTAGGGGTACTGTACCCATCCTGACAGATTCCAACAAAACATGCAGTTGGGGTATCAAACCCCAACAGGTTGAGTTCTGTTAAGGTTAAAAGGGGTACCAGGGTGCCATACTGCACATAAATGCACACCGCTAGTATTCAATCCAAAAAATGTTCTTAAAGAAATTGGCAAGCCTGACTTCTTTTTTTTTTCGTCCAGCGATGGGGAGAATCTCTCCTGCATCATAATCTTCATCTTAGTCTACTACTTCATCATCGCCGGTGTGATATGGTTCGTCTGGCTGGCCTATGCCTGGCATCTCTCCTTCCGTGCCCTGGGCACACCGCGCCAAGCCCTGAAAGGCAAGACAAGCTACTTCCATCTCTTGGCCTGGAGTCTGCCATTCATACTGGTTGTCATCATTGTCGCTATCAATGAGGTATGTGCCGAACACGGTGGGGGAGGGGGTAGGGGAGGCCGGGGTGGGAAGGGCATGGGGGCAGGGGGAGGAGGGGGCACACCGCGCCAAGCCCTGACAAAATTACCTGAAAAAAATGTTTTAAAACCTATAAACAAATAATTGAAATATTTGATGCAGTGCTTTATCGGCCCCTATATGATATATGATATCTGTTATATATGATATATGATGGCATTTCTTATATATCCTTTTTTTAAACCAAATCACACTAACTGAATTTGTAAGTGGGGTGTCTTGCATAATTTGGCACAAAATGTATAGAAACATATACTTTTCCAAGCTAGTACCCTTGCAGTCGAGTTTGAACCCTGATTACTGGTTTCTCTTCGCAGGTGGACGGTGATTCAGTTTCCGGGATCTGTTTTGTGGGTTATCAGAACCACTACTACCGGGCAGGGTTTGTCCTGCTACCTATCGGCATCATGCTAGTGGTAGGCGGCTTCTTCCTCATGAACGGTGAGTGTCAAACGATCTGGGCTCTTCCTAGGATTCCATTTGTCTCTCTCCCTAGGACTACATTTGTCAAAAAAATACCCAAAATGTCGCACAGTAACGATAAACTCAGTGCTGTAGAATGTGGTGTGACTTGCATGCTATTTGCTTGTAGTTACTTCCCGTACTAACGTATACATTTTTTCTGCTTTTATGGGAATTCGGTTAATTACTCACGAGTACTCGACTACTCATGAGTAATTTCTTTGTGAGTACTCGAGTAGAAAAATCCACTACTCACCCAGGCCTGGTACCCATAGAACTTGTGCTGCTCTTTGATTGTTTAAGGCCAAAAAAAAAGTCTTCAGTTTCTGGTTTGAAGCTTGCCCCACAAGTGGTGCGGCAATGTGGCTGTTTATTGAACATTTAAGTTTTTTTCTTCAAATATCGGCTAATGACTGCAAATGGTGCCTGACTAAATTCAGTGCAAAATATATGGGAGCCCAGAGAGGCCACATAAAGCTTATACTCGATTGTAACCACATCTAAAAACATGTTAAAATTGTGTAGCAGCAGGATTCCAGTCAAACCAGTGAGTTTGGCGGTTTTGAGACATCGTCTCACATTGAAGCAAAAACTTTTAAAATTTGCCGACGCGCATGGCTACAGCGACACACGCATACCAGAAAACGGAGCCTTTTTTTGGCCTAAGAAATATTGCAGATGCTTTGGACCTGCTCTTATGTTTGCTATTGTTTTGTTCTTGTCACCTCGTCACATTTGTTTCGATGCTACTAACCATGCGATGCCGTTGTTGATTTGCAGGTCTGAAGACGCTGTGCACCATAGACCGAGACAATCCTGGCCTGCTGAGTGACAAAGCAGCTCATCGCATCAAGGGAACCATCATCCGCATCGGTGAGAAAACAGACAACTATCAAAATTAAATAAAAGAAAAACAAAAAACAAAAAAACGAACAAAAAATACTCTGTGCTGGACATTTGACTGAGGCCTCGCTTTCCCTGTTCACAAGTGAATGTGACCGTAAACCAATCACACCTGAAGAGACATCTTGCCTATTTTTTTTTCTCCAAAATCTTCTCAAATTCTGTTTCCTTAAATTCATTTCCAAAAAAGGTTATTTATCCGTGTCAGATGAGCCTAAATTAGAGATCAAGATTTGTAAAGAGACCATGACAAACTTAAGCATGCTTTAAAAAAATATCTTCTATTTCCCAGGTTTGCAGCATGCTGTTAGCATCGTGACTTTGGGCATGATCTTGGCTGTATGGCATTAAGAGGTTTATGGCTTCTGACTAGCACCCCTTGAACAAAGACGTTGACAAAATGGGGAGCCGCCAACACAGGGCTGGATAGCTCAGTTGGTAGAGCACCGGAACGGCAATCTGGAGGTCGTAGTCAATTTCTTTGTATAACTTGAATTTTTTTTTTGTTTATGATGAAATTGCAGGTGTGTTTGCCTTTCTTGCGTTCCTCTTTGTCTTCATCACGTTTGCCAGCCACCTGTATGAGTTCACCAACCAGGAGTCGTGGAAGAGAGGCTTCCAAGATTACTTAGTGTAAGTGGACTTGTCTGTTTGTTTGTCTCTCTGTCTCTCGCTCTGTCTGTGAGTATGTTGTAATAGGTTTTTTTTGGGGGGGGGGGGGTTTCGCACTAGCTTCCTGACACTTTCAATCCAAGCAGAATCCTTTTTCAAAAGGAACACTTTTGTCTTTATTTTTTTTTCAAAATTTTTTCAAAAACTTTCTTACCTTTAGATGTATGTGACCCGTTTATATATGCCTTCGGCTCGACCACAAATTTAGCTTCTCAGCTATGAGTAAGGAGATTAGCCTCCCAAATTAATATTATTATGGGTCTAAAAGAGGCCTATAATTGCTTAAAATTGGCCAGGTCACTCACGTAACAGCATTTGTTATTTGTTGAACACGAGGGTTTAAGCCAGCATTTGAAAAAGTGGTGTTCAAGTTGGCCTTGAATTGACAAATTTGTCCAATTGTTGCTATAGTTCCATTCTTCTGAATACATTCGCGTACAATAAATAGGGTGCAGACACCTCTGGGGAAAACCCTGTTGAACACTCCTATGAGCTAGACATTTTGATCTCGCCTATACCATTTCCTCTTTTTTTGCCCCCAGTTGTGAAGCCAACGTGACCTTCCTGAGCGGCCTGTCCGACAAGCCCGTCCCTACCTGTGCCCTCAACTCTCGGCCCAACATCAGCGTCATCATGGTCCACCTCTTCTCCATGTTTGGGGCCGGCATTGCCATGAGCATGTGGGTCTGGACGCCGTCCTCCTTGGCCATCTGGCAACGCACATGGAGAAAGTGAGTTACCAGACTGTATCCATTTTAAAAATGTGCATACATGAAAATGTCATGGAATCCTGCATATTATGATGATGTGTAATAGTTGGCTATGGCAGTCTTCCAGTTGCATTCCAGTTTACTAGACTTCGTCGCGTCAGTGCAACAAGGTCGTAACTCGATTCTGCAACAAAGTCGTATCTCGCGCGAATACGTTCCGTACAACAAGGTCCTATCTCGCGTATCGCGACGTCCATTGACTTTGTGTGTATATCCGGTTATTTTAAGCGTAATACGACCTTTTGACATTGAAATCTCACATTTCACGTACATGACTTCACACGCCATTTTAGGAGATATGACCTTGTTGCACGGACACAACGACTTGTTCTTTATGCATGTATTCCCTATACTTGTTGCATGTTCTGTGCATCATTGAGATACTTTTGTGGTGCTCAGTGGTCTTGTGTCAAATTGGAAGGCTGAAAGGAAGTGACATCTCTTGCCTCCAGGAATAGGCTCCTAAGATGCCCAAACAGCATAGGAATTGATCATCGAAAGCTGTAATTTTGTCTTGGAAAAGTCATGAAAATCATGGAATTTTATGTTAAGACCTCTGTATCAGCAACATCTCAAATTAGCCAGAGTGATGGATTTGGGCCCTTTTGAGTTGCATCGCAATTGTTGAGTTTTTTTCATTTTCGTCTGTGCAGGATCACACGGCAAGCCATCAACGAGCCCCAGCGGCTTAAGAAGAGCCGGATGATAGCCAAGGCCTTCGCCAAGAAGATGGAGAAGAAGGCGGATGACAACGATGACGCGCTGTCTGTCAGCTTCGAGTCGGCCTCCCATGATGATGCCATCGGTAATACACAACAAACTCTAGAACTTATATATCTGACAACGCTCTTTTGCCGTGGAGTGTCGTGGTCTGCAGTTGATTCTGCAGGTTGTGGGTTCGAGTCCAGCCTCGGGTTATGGTGCGTGTGCCCTTGGGCAAGGCACTTTGTCACTCATTGCTTCTCCCCACCCAGGAGTAAATGGGTACCTGTGAGGGCAGAGATGGTTATTGTGGTTGACTTTAGCTGCTTTGCACCGAAATGATAGCATCGAGCTTTATACTCCCCAGGGAGCTGAGATTGTCTTTAGAATGTTGCATTGTTCCTTTATTCCAGGTATGAAGTTAGACTTGCCCAAGTCCAGCGTGACCGAAGACTCGTCCTCGGTCTGGGGTCAGGGTAATAACGTCCCAGCCAGGATGCTGATGAGGCGCGGTGGGGGCGCCCTTCCGCTCCCGGTGTTCGCCACCAACGCCAGCTCACCAAGGAACTCTCCCGGTGAGTCACGAGAAAATCTACAATCTCACAAGCCGTTGCAAAGAAACACAATGATTGATTGATTGAATCCCTACAATGACAATGTCTTAACTAGTTTGCGTAACCCTATTTCCATTTTCAGATTCCCAGCTGGAGTCCCGACCCCCGACTGCCGCCCAAGCCAACCACAACATAGTCCAGGCGGAAGTCGTCATCGAGCCCCCGCCCCCGAACATGCGCAAGTCGCGCCGCAACAAACGCCGGGACCGTTCCCGTCGCGGCGCCAACCTCCCCCTGCACGGCCCCAGCGGACGCGAAACACCCATGCACGACCCCTACGTACAGGACGACATGGAGACCATCCCTGGTAGTGAGGAAGGTGTCATCGGAGCCCCGAATCGTGGAGCGCGGAGAGCGAGGCATTCCTTCCCCAGTGAGATCTCAGATCTTGATAGTGTGGCGCGAAAGTCCACAGTTCCTAAACTTCCAGCGATTCAGCGACGGCAGGTCAGTTTTGTGGCGCCTCCTGCCGACTTTGACTTGCCCAGCTCAATGTCGATAGACTCAGTGGTATGATTTTAAAAAACCTTGAGCTTCGTCACAAAATTCGGCTCAAGAATTATTTTCAAACATCTATTGCTACACCTCTTACATATTGATGAGCGAAAGCCAAAGTCTTACTGGTCCATTGACCATCACGTGTCAGCCGCTAGTTTTACTAACCGCGTACGGCACGCGACAATTCACGCACAGGGTAAATACGCATGCACAATCAACTATCGCATTGGTAACCCATGCAATAGTCTTCTACGCATGCACCTGACTGAGCAGTCATGGCATTATTGCATGGGGTAGTGTGCATATATGAACACCACCTGAGCTACATGAGAAGATTGTGGCACATGCGGGAATAGTTTCTAATACCTCGGGGAGCTAATATCAACTATCCACCCTCAAATCATGAAATATTTGTATACTGTCAAACGTAAATATTGAAACTGTTGCCTGATATCAAGTCATAAATATAGCATGTCAAGCATAAATATTCATGACTATGCAAATAATGTTTTTATATGCAGATTTCATATGCAAATGAAGAGCAGTGGTGCATTTTGTATATTTTATACTCATTCAATTTTTCATGATAAATATTGTAAGGCCAAAAAAGATATATATAGCTACAGTACCTAGAGCCTGAGGCTGTAATTTTATAGCATACAGTGATTTTAAAAGTATGACTGTGAAGGGTGAAACTCAACAAATGAACATCTCTGTATCGCAAAAAAAAATTTTCATTAAAAAATATCACGTATGGAAACAATTGAAGGAAAAACAGAAAACATAAATAAGAGGGAAAAAGCGGGTAAAACAGTGAACCTTATATTACTTTTGTAATTTGTAGCACTGTAATTTTTCATTGAAGGCATCTCGGTAGCTCGACAGCTCTTTGCAAACACAGCTCCAAATTAACTCAAATTTTCCCGTATTCATTAAACAGTGTGCTTGTTATTTGCAGGGTTATTAAGTTATTCGCTAAAAAAAAAAAAACTGATTGTAACAGTTTTTATTCATAGTTTATGTTCCTGGCCCCACGGTGTGCTTATCGCCTCAGTATTTTTTATAGAAACAATTCAGTGCTCAAGATGGTATTTCCGTCCAAAATTTGCCAAAAAGTTTATTGTAAAAAGTGAAATCTCAAACAGTATTCGACAGTATTGTTTTTAGTGAAGACTAGTGTCTTGAACTAGTAGAAAAATTAAGATATTTGTATTAATTAAATCTACACAACAACATTTTTGTATTATTGAATGTGCCTCTCTTAAACACATTGTAGACAAAATGTGAGTTATCTTCTGTACATAGGTTGCCTTAAATCTTTTTGCAGATTTTTTTGTATGTTGCTTCTAGATATTTATATGCCTTTTTTTGGGAAAGTAGACTACAGTACGTAGTGAACTTTATAGGTACTTGCTGTTAATGAGCTATGCATTTTGTATTCATCAATTAAATTTTAGCTGAACCCGGTCATTCATGAACTATGCATTACAAAGCAACTCTATACAGTTTACAACATGTACATAGTTTTTATTTTATACACTAGTTTAAAATTACTTTGTATTCATAGATGATACTTTTTTTTTTATAGCAGTACGTCTTCCAGGGTTGACAAACTTTCAAGTCATGTGAAAGATCATGGTACTATTTTAAGCATGAATATTCATGATGTGCAAAAAACAAAGATTTCATATGCAGATTTTTATGCAAATGAAGAGCAGTGGTGCATTTTGTATGTTCTATACTCAGTAAAATGTGTGGGTTTTTCCATGTTAGATATGTTAAGGAGATACGACAAAAAAAGTGGACATTCTTCCTTTTGAATCAAAGAATCTCCACCTTTTGAGTCGTTTCTCCGACTTAAACTACGTCCCTCCCGCAAGTATTGTCCAGTTTACAGGGGAACAAAAAATGTGGATTCTTATTAATGCTTTGAGCTATGAGATGAATTTGATCCATTGTCCAGCATTGGCTAGCTATGTAAAAGCTTTACTCCTGGGCCTTAATTATGCGCTTGTACCTTTACTGGATCGTGTTGTTAACCCTCTGCATGGGTGTATAACTTTTGTTCCATTCTTCAGGATGATGCATGCAGGGCCACATACATGCAGACACCATTAGTGGCTTGTAGTACATATACCATCTTTGTTACCTCTCTGATGGAGTTATACATGTACATGTATGTTAGTGTTTCAGCTACGCACATATACTGAATTAAAACACTATTAAAATGCTATCGATGCGAGCGTACGGGATGGAGGAGTTTTAACACCAACCACAAGGAAGTTTGGCGAGCAGCTTATTTGTGGAACCACTTTGTCAGCTGAGATGAAGACCGCTGACCTTGACATTGCTAGTACACCGAAATATCTCGCTCGCCACAGGAATTACTCTGTTTGGAAAATACATAACATCGGAATATCATCTGAGAAGTATTGATTGGTAAGTTTCTGGCAGTCAATTTGATTTTTCAGTTACTTATCCATTCTTTATAATTGTCAATGAATTGTCCTTTTTGTTATGTTTTTACGGACCATTATAATGTATACTTACGGACCATTTCAAGTATACTTGAATAACAAAGGACGAGTTGTAATAAAACTGTAAGTAAATGGACTAGATATGAACATTAAAAAATTGAAAGCGAAAATGTGAAATTCAGTGCAAATCGTTACAAAGCTAATTCTAGAAATTAAAAAAAAAGGAAAGACAAAAATAAAAAATAGGTTTCAGTTTTAACAGTAAAATATAATTCCCACATATAAGTAAAATAAGAATTAAAAATAAAGAAAACTAAAAATAAAATAAAACTAAAACTAAAAAAGGAGAGTATTTTATACTATTTCACTTTGAATCTATAGTCGCCACTGAGAAAATTTCAATATTAGAGCGGCAAATTGAAAAATGCAAAGAGAACATTCAATTGTGTAGACACAGTCAAAGAAATAACCGAAATGCTGACGTGCAACTTTAAAAAGTACACTGTAAAAAAAATGTTTAAATTGAGACAAAAACATTGTGGAATTTCTCTGTAAATTAAGCAGTTTTACAGAGAGGTATATAGTTGTAGCTTTAGCGTATGCAAGGCATATTTCTGTATTTTGCTTAAAGTTCTTTGAATTTTTCCGGTTTTTTTTTTCATGGCCAGCACGAAGATAAATGTACATTTAATATACATTCTTAAAAAATAATCGCCACTTTACGGAATAGAGTGACGTCACAAGAGTAGTTTAAGAATGCTGAATGATGCTATTATCAACATAAATATTCATGACTATACAAATTACAAGGTTTTCATATGCAGATTTCATATGCAAATGAAGAGCAGTGGTGCATTTTGTATGTTTTATACTCAGAAAAATGTGTGGGTTTGTTCATGTTAGATATGTTAATGTACATTTGTTTTCTAAGACACCTCAATTTTTTTTGTTACTGTAATGTTACATAACTTTTATTGTTAAAAAAAAATAATTTTAGACGGTACACAATGTAGCATTATCTTGTGTAATGCCTATTGAATTTATCTTTGTATAGTATTAAAAAACAAACTGGCTTTTGTTAGTAATATTCTGACTTTTCAAACAAGGTTAATTTCTGCTCCATTTGTACTTAACATGGGCAGATTTGTCACATTAATTGTAGAATCCTTTAACCTCTACAAAATGCAGTCCTATTGCTTACTTTTGTTACTTTCCCCGGTATTTGTTGCTAAAAAAAATATCATTGTCATAAGTTCCTCGTTCAAACATAGCCAAATAAAGTGGCGAGAGCCCCTTAACCAGCATTGAAGTTGTAACCCTAAAAAATCCTAGCCAAACCCCAGCCCCCTGACAAGAACCACGTTTGTGTAATATAATCCTGAAAGTGATTTTGGCTCAATTTAAAAAGTCACGTCTCCCACAAATGATCAATAAAGAACAAGACAAAAACGTTTTCAGAATCAACACCGAGTCTTTATTTTCTTCAGTTGGTTGATCTCAATGTAACCGGTTATAATTTGTATAATCATGTTCATTTCTTTTTATTATTTTCTTAATAGATACAAAAGTTATTATATATATTTACACAGTTTCCTTTTTCTTTTTTTTTTACATAAATGCTGTTCCTTGCTGCAGATTGAACTTGGCTCTTCACGGAGCCCTCCTCGCTTGGAACATTTTACATAGCAAAAACTCGGGTTACTACTAACTAGCCAACCAAAATTCCTTTGAAGTGTGCTTCTACCAGATTCTTGGCTTATTTTAGCCAAGCACCCCCTAAAAGAGAAAATACTGACCAGTATTTTCTATTATTAAACCCACTAGCACCTGCACTACATTGTATTACATTGTGTTACATTGTATTACATTGTATTACAATGTATTACATTGTGTTACATTTTATTACATTGTATTACAATGTATTACATTGTATTACATTGTATTTATTCACTGAAGAATCAATACAACCATAGAGCCTAAAGGGTTAAGTTTACAGGGTTCCTACACCTTAAGGACACCAAAAATAGCATTACTTTTCCGTGACCAAATTATGAAAATCCATGACCTAGTTCATCAACGTGCAGACCAAAACTGTAAAAACTTGTTCACTGGGCACAAAATTGAAATCAAACTATTCAGTGAAATGGATCAGTGAAATTAGTCGCATTTTGTCGGGTACAAAAACAAAAAAAGTTACGAAAATTCCATTAATTTTCCTTGACTCTAGTAATTTTTGACAAATTTCCACGACTTTTTCAGACCTGAGAATTGAAAATGAAAATCCATGACTTTTCCCAGGGTTTTTCCCAGACAGCGGGAAACCTGAGTTTATATGATCTCTACTGTCGGAAAAAGAAATAACTCGCCAAAAAAAACCATTTTTTTTTTTTTTTCATTTTTCATTTACATCAAAAATTGAGGGCAGTTTGTATGTAATTCCCCCTACAATAAAAAAATGTGCAAATTGAGGTAAATACATGTACGTTGGAACATTACTGTTTCTACATTTTCGACTGGAAACATCTAACAATTATATACGTATTTGTACAGAGTGACCATTCATTCTGATCTCGAACTTAAATTCCACGTTTGTTTTTTCTGTGGGTTTTAATTTTTATAAAATTTTCGAGAAATAAATTACACCGCCAAGAGATTTGGCACACATAAGATGCTGACTTGGGAAACGTGTTTTACGATACAAAAGACTGACTACTGTCAGGTTTGTTTATTGCGGTAGTGTAGCGTCAGATCACCCCCGCTTTTCCAGATGAAATATTTGACCGTTCGCAAATCCATGTTCGCATCTAGAACCTGAAAAAGACAGAGAGTGCATTTTTAGTGCCAAATGTGGTAGTACTAGTAATAATGATACTATAAGTGGGTATTTATAAAGTGCACATATCCACCAGGACTGGTGCTCAAGACGCTATATTATTATTACCCTGCTCATTGGGCCCATAAAACATTTCAAAGACAATCTCAGCTCCCTGGGGAGTATACAGCTCGATGCAGCCTGTTAGGCGCAAGGAAGCTAATTCAATCACAACAACCATCTCTGCCCTCACAGGTACCCATTTACTCCTGGGTGGAGAGAAGCAATGAGTGACAAAGTGCCTTGCCCAAGGGCACACGTACCATGACCCAGGCAGGACTCGAACCCACAACCTGCAGCTTTACCTGCAGACCACGAATCCAATGCCCTTAACCACGAGGCCACAGCACTTGATCAATCGTTCCTTTTGCAAATTTCATACCTGGTCTTGGCACAGCAACTCCACCTTGTCTTCCGATATACTAGGCATATCTTCATCTCCATCCTGTGGCCCTTTCCCGTTCATCCCTGACCCACTGTCTGCACCCATCACTTTCTCGTACACGTGCTCCAGGACTTTACGGACCTGTAGCATGTCACTTGCCGACAGTCTATCCCTGAAATTAGAGAGGATAAGGAAATGAGCATCTCAAGCCTAGTAAACCTTTTAATGGTATCTTCCTATGTGTAGTCTAATTCAATTTTTGCGATAAGAAATGAATATGTATCATGTACTCTTTGATTTAAGTTTTCAACGGGCACTGTGTGTTTTAATGTTAAATGTAAAATAAACCCCAATTCTGCACACAACTTTCCTATGTTTTTTCAGTTTGCTTATTGTCATTTTCTGTTTAATAGTACAAGTTGAATGCATGTACAAATGACCTGGCAACTTCTGAACCAATGCTACAAATTAATTGCTCAGGTCTGAGCCCTAGACACCACATTCATAACCAAACATTGACTTGCTTTATTGTCAAGGCACCAGACTATTCCACACGAAATGATTAACTGAGATAAAATTGAATTTTGAAGTTGGTGACTTCTCTGTAAGGAACTGAAATTGCACATGAATACCAGAGCTTTTTGTTTGTTCTTTAGATTTAATAAGTCACCAAAATGTCCAACAACAAACTTACTTTTTAAGGGTTTTGGCACCTGAGCTGGAGTGAGGTTGCAAGAAGAAGGATATCTTGTTGAATTTGGGCTGATTTTTCTGGGAAAAAAATCAACACAACAAATAAAATATGTTAAAACCTTACACCGAAGAATAAAAGCCACACATTATTGATTATGATATTCAAACGGTGGGTCGATTTTCATCAAGTTGAAACATACACTACAAACAAAGATTCCTATATTTTTAACTCAAAACTTTCAAAACCAGTTCATGTCGGAGGACGTGATACCACGCACTGGCTGTTTTTATACAAAGGCACGGCTGACGGGTTAAGACATCAAGATTGCCTGGACTCGCCTCCGGGTGACGTCTAAACACGCTAATCCCTCGTGCCTTTTGTACACACACACAAAGTCTGTGAAGTCTGTGGAGGCGGACCGTGTGTTTATCTTGAATTGGACATTGTGCACGGCCTATTGTTCGACAATAGGAGTATTGAAACATATGAGGTTTCAGCACGAAATATCGTACAAATACTGTTGAAATGACTCTTGCGAATCAGTTTTTGTGGCGTTCGGCTGTTTATCAGAAGTTGGCTTGAAAAAGTTGCCTTTTGCAAAAGATCGAAATTTTCGGCAAAATAATACCGGCGTACAGCAAATTTAATGCACATACCTCGACTGTGATGTCCACCACCCACTGCGGCACCGTCTCCGATAACAGCATCCGCTCAGAGTCCCCGCCAGCGTCGCGGCACAGGAACCGAAACAGCGTGCGACCTCCGACCTCGCTGAAGATGACGGGGGTGTGTGACGGCACGCTGAAGTAGCTGTTGCCTTTACGCAGGACCGTGCCCTGGTGTACAGGATCCATGGACAGATTGATATCACCTGGGCTGCTGTTGTGACCGTTAACTGCGAAACAAATCGCAACAAATCGTAATACTGCAAGCGGTTCACGAGACGGTAATGAACAATACAGAAAAGCTGACGCGCGTTCCACTCATGTTAACATTACTGCGATCGTTAGCTATGCCTCGCAAGTGTGCCAACCCTAAAGTGGAACCAAAACGCCATAGAAAAAGTGCTGTCAAAATGGCGGTGCCCACTGCTACGTGTGAGAAAAGCTTTGGAATTGCCCAAATTTAATTATGCCCGGAAGTGAAATTTAGCCAATAAAATGAGACAAGCAATTTCAGACATGATGAGAAATGCATGATGTTCATTATGTGTGCGCAAGGCATCTTGGAAAACATTTCAAGACATTTCAAGGCTTTTGTAAGCAACAAATAAAATCTAAGCTGTTTTCAAAGTCTTTTTCAAGTTCGCAAATACTCCCTGGACTTTTTCTTAGGTTTTAGCAGAACTTGCTCAGGTAACAACCTGCTTGTTTTAATTCCGGTTCAACAGACAAATCTTCTTAAACTTTATTCAAATGTTTTATCCCAAATGAGCCACAGACACACAAACAGGCAGAAAGAAAGACTAAAACTCAACAATCTGCTCATTTTTGTTTATGTCATACCATGTCCGTTCATCTCCTCTGGTTCCAAGCTGTGCGTTCGTGGCCAGTGTTCCAACAACGCCTGAAGAAGCAGCCCGCCAAAGTTCACTGGGTGCAAAAATAAATCCATCCACATCAATTTGAAAAATATCAAATCTTACCACACGACAAAGTCTGTAACGGATGTTTGTGAGTTAACAAAGGCACTGGGAGATATCCTGGGTGAAAAATTATGAGCGTGTGAAATGTAATGGTGGTATCACGGGTAAAACACTGAATTGGCTAAGCAGTGCCATAAAATTGGTTAGAGTATTTACAAAGAATGAACAACAAAATGGGATCCCTTTGTCACAGTTCTTGACTTGTGATTGACTTGTGATGGACTTGTGATTGACTTGTGATTGACTTGTGATTGACTTGTGATTGACTTGTGATTGACTTGTGATTGACTTGTGGTTGACTTGTGATTGACTTGTGATTGACTTGTGATTGACTTGTGATTGACTTATGATTGGCTTACGATAAGCTTGTGATGACAATCTTGCGATTCACTAGATTTTAACTTTGGGATGTACCTTTGGTTTCTGGGCCATCTACGGGACCCAAGCCAACATCTTTGGAGGATACCCAAGATGCAAAGCAATCACTCTCCTCAAGGTGTATGCACAGCATCTAATGATAAACATAGTGTCACATACTTATAAATGCATTGATCTTCCAATATTGGCAATTATTTTCAGAGTTGTATTAAGGTGACAATCAGACCCATAGTTGACTGGCCCAATTGTGGATTTGTGCCCATCTAGGAATCATAACAACTTCATGCTATCTAAGTTGTAAGATGACAGTCAAACACATCCATATTTTATAACTCTTATAGCGTGGTGCTTACGTAGGGCTTTATACCACTGGCTTAACGGCCACACAATTATTACCCCCGCTCATCAGGCCATGAAACCTGTTTTCTGCAGCAGCTCCAGATCAGCGCAATCTAGTCTCTACCCTCACAGGTACCCATTCAAAATCCTGGGTCAGGAAAAGCAATTGTAGTAAAGTCCCTTGCTCAAGAACACAAACACCACTTTCCTTATCAGGGTCTGAACAGGTCTACTATTGAGGGTGAATCCCTGGGAACGAGGTTGGGCACTACATCGTTATTACCCCTGATCATCGGGCCATTAGGTGTTTTTGTTTTCGAGCTCACCCCAATCTTGAGGTCTACTGAGAACCAGTGAGGCACGTGAACCATCTGATGTTTGGTTTTGATGACCACCTCCATGTCCACTTGGCCGAGATCTTCCACTTTTTTGGCCTGCGACAAAAACAGTGAAATTGGGACACAAAGTAAACGAGAATTGAACTATTGTCAAAGGAGAAAGTTGTGAAGACATTATTCCATAAACAGAACTTGTGTTTTACTAACAAAACAGCAATTCATACCAAAAAAAAAATTCTTGAGATGGTTTTTGAAAATACCATGGGAGAGAAATTTTGATACTTGAAGTACAAATGAATATGCATATAATTGAACTTACTGAGAGCACATCATAGACAGCAACGTTGCTCTCCGTGTCTTTGGTCACTATGTGTCTCTTGTCATTCAGGATCTGGTACTGGACGACACTCGGCCCACCTTGAAAAAAAAAACAATCATGTATTGAAGCATGTCATGGCAATCAACCACAAGTTGTCTAATGGTCCTAGCCTGACTTGCACCAAGACGATGGCATCCATGAACTGGCGTACCGCCGATTTACGGAAACATTTTTGGAAACACTGGCTCACCTTTGACTGTGTACTCGGGCGTTTTGATGAACGGTTCGCAGGGTGCGTTGTCGTAATCCCCAGAATTCCTGGCGTCGTCACCCCTCAGTGACTGAAGGAACAAGAAAAATATGTACTAAGAAGCTTGCAAGACCAAACATTTTCCAAAAATCCCAAACTAATCCATTAGGAATGTTCTTATCCATAAAGAATATTTTTAAGCGTTGGAATCAAACGTTTCTAGGGAGTTGTAAACAGCTTGTACAACTGTTTGGGTTTTTTTTTTTGGGGGGGGGGGGAGAGAGTTCCACGGGCCCTAGTATGTAACAATTATATTTTATGAAAAACATAATTTACAATGAAGGATGGAGAATATTTTGAGGGTGGGGAAGGAGGTCAGCATAGGGGAGTGGTTAAGGGTGAAATATTCTAAATTGTACCCATTTGTTGATGTCAGACCGAGTCGTCGCAACCCAGAGAGAGTTCTGGTCGGGGGTGATTTCTATTCTCAGGATCGGAGCGTGTTCCTCGCAGATCAAAACACTTCCCTCCGGATACCTGTAAAATCAAAGACAAACTAACTTATGTATCTCTTTTTAAAAGACTGAATGAAACAAAGTGCTTTCTATCTTTATTTGAAATACAATACATGGGCAGGGCTATTCTATGATGAATGTGAGTCAGATATCAGTGTCGTGGCCTCGTGGTCTGAAGCTTGAATTTGTGGTCTGCGAGTAATTCTGCAGGTTGTGGGTTCGAGTCCAGCTTGGGGTTGTGGTGTGTGTTTCCTTGGGCAAGACACTTTGTCACTCATTGCTTCTCCCCACCCAGGAGTAAATGGGTACCTGTGAGGGCAGAGATGGTTATTGTGATTGATTTTAGCTGCCTTGCGGCTAAAATGGCAGCATCAAGTTTTGGTCTCGTAAATTGGCCGTACAGCACCGACAGTAATTCTTGCAAGGCTTCCCCGTACCTGAGATCGGTCACAAACAGCCGGCAGTCTCGCCCACCAGAGTAGAAGTGGCTGAAGGAGTTGTTGGCTCGCAGTGCCCACACGCCGTCCTCGTGCATGCGGTAGGTCGCGATGCAGCGCTGCTGGCCCAAGGACCACAGACGAACAGTGCCATCCGAACTGCCAGACAAACACTGAAAAAATAAAAAGACTTCAGGATGTCATGGAGCCAGAAGTTCTTAGGGCCGTCTCAATTCATATCTGGGAACGAGTTTCGGACAAGTTGCGGACGTTGTATCGGGTATAAGTTGCAGGATTCTGAACAACTTCCCCGCAATTTATCCCGCAATGAAGTTATCAGTATTGGTGAGTCAAGCAATGAAAGAAATTGGCCACTTTTTCAACTAAAATCGCCTGTAGTTTGATATCTAATGACGTCTTCATGACATCACAGTACTATGCACACCTCGGGATCAGGGTCGATATATGTTCCAAGTTTGAAGTTTATACCTATATAAGTGTTCAGAAGAAAAGTCCTGAAGACTTATTGTGCAGAAATAAATTAAGAAAGAAAGAAAGAAAACCATTTCAAAACAGTGATTAGGGATCTGGCCGATCACTCAATGAAAATATAACAAGACCAAGACATGAACATCAACATATAGGACAGAAGAATCTTAGTCTGAGAAAGAATAAAAATCTGAACAAAAACAACAGTTGTTCCAGTTACAAAGCGACGCATGAGGCTGTTCCTACCTGGCTAGCATCCCTGTTGACCAGCAAAGATTTGACGTTATCCGTGTGACCTTTCAACTTCATGACCTTGGCGCACGTCCGCGGGTCCCAGACTCTCAGCACCTGCGTGGAATTGTGGGTAAAAATAGGAGGACAAACTGAGACATGATCCGTGGTTCAAAAAAGAGAGATTTACTTTTTTATCAATGAATAAAGCTTTTCAAAGAATCTGTTTTAAAAAAATTAACCATTTCGTGAAAATTGCCTGAATCTGCAAAATGAGCAGTCAGTAATATACATCACATGTGGCGATGAATGTTTCTCGAACTTTTGTGTTTTCTGTCATGTTCTCTTACCGGTTTTTGTGAACTCATTGATAAATTTGCTTAGAATTCCTACAGAGTTTAAGCAAAAAAAGCACAAACCTTTTCGGTTGACCCTGAGATGACGACTGATCCTGATTGGTTCATTGCAAGACTATAAATAGAATCCTTCTGACCGTTCAGTGACGAAGCTAAGGAAATAAATAAAAAATATGAACAAGTAAAAATTCCACAACGCGATCATGCTTTGTGGATTTTTAAATACTTTCTGGATAATATGAGTGATTGATTTTGCCCCCCAAAAAATTCAGGACATTTTGATAAGAATGAAGGTAATCACTGAATTGGTGAATCTTACCATTGCTCAAAATTGTATTGAAGTAAGAAATTTTATTAAAACCACCGTCTACTTGGCGATATGAAACCTGTTTTCCTTTTTATTTTTGAGATACTATCTATCTGGCAAAGCCTGAAAGCAAGGGGAATCTTTCCAGAGAAGAAAAGGTATACTTTTACAAAATTTCTTTTCCTTTGGAATAAAGATTTATGCCAGTGTGGAAAAGGCTTTTCTAGAGTTCTGGCAAAAATTCTCATACTGCAAAAGCTGTCATTTCAAGGCAGCTTGGGTTTTCTAATCAGAACAGTTAGCATTCCAAAATGAAACACGCCAAGTATCTCAGATTTTCTTCCGTGCTTACTTGTGACGGTGTTGTTGGTGGCTGTTAGCGCCGTCAGCGTCCGTACATCCCACAGGAATATCTGCTTGTCCAGGCCAGCCGAAGCAACGTGTTCCCTGTCTTTGGCATAGGCTAACGCTTTCACATAATCCTGTGACAAATCATCGCGGTAAAAAATCCTCAGAAAATTTGTCATTTCATAAAAAAAGGAATAATAAAAAAAATTTCTTGAAGTTTCTTTAAAAATGGTACCTCTTCTTTATATCATTTTCAATAATCTCTTCCTCAATTGTCGACAAGCGAAGACGCGCGAAACTCACGATCAGTGCCAGTTTAGGCTGACGCATGTTTAACTTGATCAACACATTTTTTCGAATATTCCAATATTCCATCAAGTCCGAGTTGGATAATAGAATACTAAATTATCTGAAACAGCACAGCACTATTTCTCACTCAATCTGTGAGCACAACTTGGTACGATGATAGGTTTTTGTCAACAGAGGTTCCAACAACTATAACAACAAAGAAGCTGTTGCTGACCTTATGTGTTCTTAGCGTGGACATGCAGAATCCTTTCTGTGCGTTCCAGACTTTTACTGTCGTATCTGAAGATGCAGAAATTACTGGAGGCAAGAAAAACAAACACACATTGTCAAATGTCAGGATTTTGCAGGATTGAGACTACATGTTAATATAGCAAAAATGTGTGGCTAATTTTGGAGGATGCACTGTTTGTTTATGCTCATAAATTTAGGCCTAGATTATACTTGAAATCCTCCGCACTGCTCCAGGATGTCACTGGCTCTGTCTCGACATATTGACAGTGATTGCTGGAGGATTTTGCAGGATTGAAGCAGTGGTCACCCCTCCAAGGACCACATTCAAGAAATAAGAGGATTTAGAGGATTGAGGATGTGTGAAATTTGTCCATGAAGGTAATTGGAGGATTTTGCAGGACTGAGGTTGCATGTTAACAAAAATGACTAGGGAGTTAGGGTTCAAATCTAGAAAAATCTATGGTGAATTGTCTCACATGTTTTTCCATCGCAGCACAGCACAACGTCGTTCACCCAGTCTGTGTGGTGCTCCATAGACTGTTGGTATGGATCCTGCAAAGAAACAAACAATGAAGTTTCATTTTTTGAGATCATGATACCTGGTTAAGAATAAACTTGGACAGATTAGGCCAAGAAAAAAAAAGGATAGAGATCCATACCTGGACATCACTTGACACCCTGTGCACAAACCCTATAAGACTGGTCTGAAAAAAATTCCAAGTGTTTTGTAAGTAAATGCGTCAATATTTTCCCGGCTAAATTTGACTTTTTAGGACATGTTATTGCTTTCTGATGGCTGAGTGATAGGTCACTGCAGGGAAAATTAGAGATGTCCATGTAAAGAATTTGTTCTGGAAAAAATACCTGTGTTTCTGGTTACCCCAACCAACGCAATCAAACCTAAATCTTTTTTTTTGGACAACGTAAAAAAAATTGAATAAGTAGTGCTGCCCGCCCCAACCCCCATCTTTTTTGTGCACAGCTGATGGGAAATCAGTGACAACGTTTGCGTTGTTTGCGTATTAAAAGTGGAATGCACTCTTGATCTGCAAATCTCACCTTGGGATTGTTCAGATTCCATATTCTGATGATGGAATCGCGTCCGGCTGAGTACAGCTTGTTGCAGGCGGGGTCAAACTGGAGGCCGTTGACCCCTGACCTGTGCTGCCGCTCCACTTCATCTCGGATCACGAACGAAACCTGCATAAAAGTTTGCAATGTGTTAGGCCTAAAAAAATTGGCATTTTGTTTACTAAAATGCTCTGAGTCTGATTAGCACATAAAAATCGATCATGACGTCTTTTCTTTCTAATTCACAACTCTGGAGACTTTTTATTAAAAGGTAAGTAAAGTCCAAGATATCCAAGTTCCAACAGAATCGACCCATCGCGCAACGCGATCGATCGATCGCGCAGATCGACCGATTGCGCCCAACATTTCTTGCTATACCGATATACCGTGTAGACCGTACACAAACTTTACAGAAAGACATTTCGACCGTCACCGGCGCCCCACCAACCCACAAATTAAAACACTGTTTATAAACGATCGGCACCGTAAAATTCACCCAATGCATTGCAAAAACCTGGTTCAGGTAGTAGAATTTATCACAAACTCATTAAAGCAAGATCTACGACCTGGAACTTTGTTAATTTACCTGAACTTTTCGTCGAGTGCTGCTCTGTTGCCGATGGTGCACCGCCATATTTCGCATCATTGAATGAGTGACGTCATGATTTTCTGGCTCTGTATAGTCTGGCGCCTCGGTCAGGCTGCATTGTATTAAATGCAGAATTGGTCTGGTATCCATGCTCGCGCTCTTGTGTTTACAATAAATGTGTTTGATGTTCATGCTGCGCTGTTCAACTTGTGACCTTGACTTGTCATGTGCTATTTTTGGGGTGAAGGTTTAACTTTAATGTTTCGGTTCGGGAAAAAATGGGAAATACCATGAAAACGTCAAGGCCCACCCTGCCACCTGGTAGATTTCAATGAATAACTTGTCGACACGACGACACGGACTTAGTAAGAAATTTGGTTAAATTTTAGTCATTAGAATGGGAAACATCATGTTCAAATATAAAGTTTCAGTGTTCAACTCAAGTTCAGACAACACAGTTGGTGGGGGGGGGGGGGGGGGGGGCTGGTGGCGATGAACTTGAATTTGGGCTATTATATTTAATAGTACTATAATGAAAGTTTCTTATTAAAATCACTTATATAATTTTTATAATGTGTGTTTTTGAGTGATTAAATGGGTTTGAAAAGTGCAATAAACTTGAACTCGGCCTTCTTTGTTTAAACTTAATTTTTCACGCTGCATAAAATTTCACCGTTATTATTTTTTGGTTGTAATTTTTTAATGTTACATAAATAATCACAATTATTGTGAAGTGTTTTTGGATAATAGTAGGACTGTAGGGAGTCGGTATTGAATTTGAAATTTACATAATTTATTGTAAATTTTCTTTTTTTCAGAAAAATCACTTAAAATGTAGTTTTTGAGTTTGTTTTTTTTAACAATTAACTTTTAGGATAGAATTCCCCCCCCCCCCGATATTAGAAATGCTTTTCATCAAGTGTTGGCTATGATTGCTCCCAACAATCTTCCTTATTCCCTAATTTTCAATTTATCAATATTTTTTTTTAATTTAGACTATGGACCCAGATGAGAATGCCTTGTCAGATTCGAGCAGTGAGCCCACTAGCCCCTTGCTCTTCTCATCCAATGAGGAGAGACTTCTCTACGCCTCACGGCACGGTGACAGCCAGACTGTGCGACAGCTTCTCCGACAAAACAATGAGGGCGCTATTCAACTCAACATTGACTGCAAAGGTCAGATTTGAATAGTTTCAACCTAATTATGTGGTTTTGGCCTTCCATTTAATGTTAGTTGCATAGTGCTTGTAAGGTTTCCTATACTTACCAGAGGGTCAGAGGTTCGAATCCAGCTGCTGGCCATATGCTGTGTCCCTAGGCAAGCCACTTCAACCCAATTGCCTTATGAATAGGCACAGACAGCTGGGCCGGGAGTAACCAGCTGTTGGCCATATGCTGTGTCCTTGGGCAAGCCACTTTACCACAACTGCCTTTTAAGAACCCAGATGTATGAGTGGGTATTGGCATTACTAGCTGGGGAGTAACAGCTGCTGGCCATGTGTTGTGTCTTTGGGCAAGCCATTTTACTCCAATTGCCTTTCTTTACCCTGTAGTATACATTGTAAATGGGTACTGGCATTAGCTGGGGATTAACCTGCGATGGACTGGCATCCCATCCAGGGGGAACAGAAATATTCTTAGTCATGCCAAATAAACCTGAGATAAACTCCAGCCTCATAACCCATTTTTGAAAGTTGGTTAAAACGTGAAATCAGTAGTTGGCAACGTTTTTTTTTTCATTCCGCAGGTACAACCAAGGCCAATCTAGGCTGGAGCCCGCTCCATCTAGCAGCCTACTTTGGACACGTCGAGGTGGCCACGCTGTTACTGAGCTACAATGCCGATTTCGATATTGTCAACACTAACGGTGACACGCCCCTGCACCGAGCAGCATTCACTGGAAGACTTGTGAGTTTCAGTCTAAGCAAGCCCAGAGTTGTAGTAAAGTCATCATAAGTCAATCACAAGGCAATTACAAGCCATCACAATTCAGTCACAAGTCCGATAAGTCCATCACAAGTCAATCACAAGTCGATCACAAGCCATCACAAGTCAATCACAAGTCAATCACAAGTCAATCACAAGACATCACTGATTTGACTTGTGATTTTCTTATGATTAACTTTGGGTTTAGATTGCAAAATAATATTAAATATTCTAATTTCAAAAGTTTTTTTGTGATAAAAAATTAAGAAAGTCTCTTTTTCATTTCGGTTCAAATTCTTCCCAGGAATTGGTAGCTGCACTCATTCAGTATGGAGCAGATGTCACTATTGTCAACGGAGAGGGTCACATGGCTAGAGACATCGCCCACGGCGACGACATTCAGAAGATGCTGATTGGTCAGTTCAGCGTAACAAAAAACTCTTTGATAAAACCATTTTATCATAAACATTTGTCATATCTCTCTCTGACAATCTTTATCAAAGCTCATGAGTTGATGAGTATTTTTTTATTTGCTTGGCAGCCTCTACTTACAAAGTAGTTTAAAAACTTTTTATATTTTTTTCTCTTGTTACCATGACAGCAACTGAGCAGGCGCAGAAGTTAAAGTTAGAGCAACAACTTCTAGCATCGTCCGCAGAGGGACTTTTGGACCATGTCCAAACGCTGGTTAGTGGATGTTAGTTGATTGTCGGTGGATATGCGAGTGGCTCTAACGATAAGGTTGGGCTTAGTCTATGACCAAAGTTGTATAAATAGGATCATACAGCTTGTGAAATTAATTGGAGAATCAGACATTGGTAATAAACACAACATGACGTTTTATCCTGTAAGTTGTTCTCTTCGCAAAAAGCTAATGTAATTTACATTGCCACAAAAGCTACCTCCGTTTTTCTTCCCACGATGCAGTTGTTTGGTCCCCGCCCACCCAACATTAACTGCGCCGACGTGACGGGGAACACGCCCCTGCACTGCGCCAGCTATCGGGACCAGCACGAGGTGGTCATGCTGCTACTGCAGCACGGCGCAAACCCCCGCCTCCCAAACAAGAAGGGACACACCCCCATCGACCTGGCCCAGTCGCAGCACATGAAGCAACTACTGAACGTTAAACCAGTCAAGGTATGCAAAAAGGCCTCAAACTATTTTTTTGTGTGTTCATTTTAGATCCATCATCCATTTCTTTCCACCGCGGTGGTGGAGGCCGCTATCAACAAGATGAATCAAGCCTGGGGAATTTTGGCAACCCTAACCAAGAAATACCGCTGTGGTAGAGGGCGCTATCAACAAGATCAATCAAGTCTTGGGAAGTTTGGTGACCCTAACCAAGAAATACCGCGGTGGTAGAGGGTGCTATCAACAAGATGAATCAAGTCTTGGGAAGTTTGGCAACCCTAACCAAGAAATGCTGAGCGCTCCTCACACATGCATAAGATAGCATAGCCGGATAGTCAGTTAGTAGAGCTTTGCTCAGCCGTGTCCGAATTACTTGGCTATACGGCTGGCGATAACACACGAGTCTATGGCAAGTAGCCGCAGCCGTAGCCAGTGGCTTCCATAGGTGCGCCTGTTACTCCAAGCCATAACCAAATATAGTCCGACATGGCTATCCAATCAATTTCTTTAGTCAAGCAAAGTAACTACATCACCATTTTTTTTCAACAGGTCGTGCAAAGTGTGGATAAACGTGAAGGGCCGTTACTGAAGGTAGGCGAGTTACAAAATTGTTTTGTGACTTGTTTATTCTTGTTGGCTGTTTTGGTAATTCGCCGTTTTGGGCTGTTTCGGCAGTTCGCCAAAACAGCGTTTGTTTTTGTTAAAGTTTTTTTGCTTTCTTTTTTTTTTTTTTTTTTTTTTTTTCAGACTTTTTTTTGTCCATAGCATTTGTACACGTTTTCATCGTGCCCAGCACTTTGGGCACTAAAATCAATCCGATTGCCTTTATACTTGGCACACACTTAGACCACCACCTGCAGATGTGTGCCGAACTTTGACGTCATCATGACGTCATCATGTGTCACGTGACGTCACAACAAAGGTGCATATTTTGAAGGTCTATATCTCCAGAACTACAGGTCCGATTGGGTTGAAAGTCTGTATGCACCTAGAACGGGATGTGGTATATATGAAAATTGAAGTGACGTCACGATGACATCATCACATTAAATGTGACATCATATTAAAAGTGCATATTTTAAAGGCTTATATCTACAGAACGACAGGTCCCATTAGGTTGAAAGTTGGTATGTACCTAGACTGGTATGTGTTACAGATGCAAATTGAAATGACGTCAAGATGATGTCATCACATGAAATGTGACGTCATCTTAAAGGTGCATTTTTATAAGCCTAAAGCTACCGAACTGTTGGCACTGATGACTATGCAACTTTCTACTGCACATCTCTGTCCTATCAGTCTATAAGATGACATAAAAATACAAAATGTCAAAACATTTTTGTGTTTGTCCACAAATATTTATAGGTTTTTTTAAATTAAATAAGCTAAGCTGAAATGACTGACTATCACAAACAATTTTCTTGCTTGTTTTCAGACCAGATTCACAGGTAGCCTGAAACAGTACTGGGTCGTGCTGGACAGAGGTATACTAACGTACTATAGGAAAAGGTAGTCATTCATATTTTCTTCTTCTCTTCATTACGGCCCATTCTATTAAATTTGAGGTCCACTTTTTTCCTGTCCCTGTTACATCTGGGAAGTGTGGCCTAGTGGTTAGGGTCTCTGGCTCATGATCAGAGGGTCAGGGGTTCGATTCCTGCTGCTGGTCATATGTTGTGTCCTTGGGCAAGCCACTTTACCTCCACTTGCCTCTCTCCACCCAGGAGTATAAATGGGTACCGGCATTAGCTGGGGAGTAACCTGCGATGGACTGGCATCCCATTCAGGGGGAATAGAAATATTTGCTGTCGTTTGATTTCACTGAAACCGGAGATAAACGCCGGCCTGATGGGCCATATTGGCTCGGGACAGACTTTACTTTACTTACTTAATCTGACATCTATGATTTTATAGTCCTTCTAGAGTAATTGTGAATAGCAAACTACCTACCCAACAAATCAAAATTGTTTGAAGTCATTCTTATTGATACTTGAATGGCAACATTACAAAGAACCAAGGTAACAGGGACAGGAATTAAACAGCATATAGCCGTTTTATTTTTATACTTGTCCTTCAATCTTTTTTAAATATTTACATTTTTTTTAATTGAATGTACACATGAAACGAAATATCAATTTAAACAACAAATAGCCATTTTTACTTTTGAAACTTCCCACAGGTTATAGGTACAAAATATACCTCAATCCGGCGGCTCTAAATTTAGTGAGTTTTGATAGCTGATTATTTCGCACACCGTAGATCTGTAGTTGTGTGATTAACATGATTAACCGTCGCACTTTAGTCACGTGTTGTGTTAATTGCACCCTACATACTGCACTGGCTCAAAATGGAGTGTTTTTTTCTTTGAAGACAGTTCATGTCGAGTCCAACATCATGGCTAACCTTGGAATTTATATAATCACTATTTCCAGCTCACTGCCCAACCATGTAAACACTCTGCACTTAATAATTAACCCTGGAAGCACAGCACCCTTTCTATGGAATGTTCGTGTTCCGGGCGATAAGTGCAGAATTTTCCGTTATTTTTTACCAAAGATCCTTTCTCCGTTGATGGTCGTAAGCAGGTCCAGGACCGGGTCTGAATTAGATTTCTTTGTTTTTATTAATAACCGAAAAGAATTGACGATAACATGGCCAGGCATTCACAGTCATCAACATGAAATTCAGACGCAACCTAAAGTTTGTTTATAATCATTGGTCCAATCGTTGAAGTTTGTTTGGTTGTTTGTGTGTTGTTTCCTCCAGGGCTGACGCGGTGGCGGGCATTAAGCGTGTGGGCTTCAGATACCTTGATCATGCCGAATTTAAGGTGAAAACTTCATCTTTACTTTGTGCTCAACAGGCTAAATTACTTGTCTGCCATGCCACACTGAAGAACTAAAGGCATTTAACAAAGATGAGTAACATTAGAACTCATCAAAAAAGTTAAACCAACAACTGTTACTTGTTCAATACCAGGGTGTGTTCCGATAGAAAATGGTGTTAATATCGTATCGCAGAGATCTCGTAAAAGAGGCAGTGTATATTTCATTTTTACATATAGTTGTGCAGAGAAATTGATACATTTCCGACATCTTCGCAAGAACAAAAACTTGTGTGTGAACATTAATACAAAAACCTAATTACTTCTCTGTCCAGAATTTAAAAAGAAAAGAGAAAAAAAGCTGGAGAAAAGCAGAAAGCTCCACATTTTCAATGCTGATGACTGCTTCCGCACAGATTCTAGAAAAGCAATTTATGTAATTTTTTTTTTTATTCCCTTGTTCAGACCAGCACAACTAACTCCAATGCTTTTGCGATACAGTACTCTAACAACACTGTGCATACATGGCTACTGGATCCTGAATGCACCAAAGTATCACGAGAGGTACGTAGTTACTCCAAAACTCAGTACGAGTGTTTCTTTGAGTCTAACTTGTGTTTGAGTAACAAAGTTGTGTTTAAGACAATCACAAGTTAACCACAAGTCATTCGCAAGTCAATCACTAGTCAAACACAAGTCAATCACAAGTCAATCACAAGTCAATCACAAGTCAATCACAAGTCAATCACAAGTCAATCACAAGTCAATCACAAGTCAATCACAAGTCAATCACAAGTCAATAACAGGTCAATCACTAGTCAAGCACAGGTCAATCACAAGTCAATAACAAGTCAATCACAAGTCATTACAAGTCAATCACTAGTCAATCACAAGTGAATCACAAGTCATTACAAGTCAATCACAAGTCAAGCACAGGTCAATCACAAGTCAATCACAAGTTAACAGGTCAATCACTAGTCAAGCACAGGTCAATCACAAGTCAATCACAAGTCAATCACAAGTCAATCACAAGTCAATCACTAGTCAATCACAAGTCAATCACAAGTCAAACACAAGTCAATCACAAGTCAATCACAAGTCAATCACAAGTCAATCTTAAGTCTATCACAAGTCAATCACAAGTCAAGCACAAGTCAGTCACAAGTTAATCACAGGTCAATCACAAGTCAATCGTGGTTTTCTTGTGACTTAATTGACCTGTAATTTGACTTGTAATTGACTTGTGATTGACTTGTAATTTGACTTGTGATGGACTTGTGATTGGCTTGTGAATGACTTGTGATTGACATGTGATTATACTTGTATTTGACTTGTTGTTGTATTTTCATCAGGACTGGTTGAACGCACTGGAAGACCACCGGGCCTACAGCGATCACTACACCATGGCCAGCACAGTGGACGATGATTACGATGACGTCAGCGAAGAATTCCTGCCTCTAGGTTCCATCGCCGATTCCTTGAAAGTATTAAACTCATTCAGTTATTGACACTTGCCCTTCACTGAATTGTATAAGCACTACTTACAGGGTTGGGTAGGGTAGGGGGGCAGGGCTGGGTAGAGTTGGGTATGGACTAAGTGAGTTGTAAAATGAAATAGCTAAAAGACAACTGATCAGTCATTTTCAAAGTCATCGGTAATTTTTAAATCCAAACAGACTGCACAGGCACGGCAGAGAGTCTTGGAGCAATCTGCCGAGAGCTTTCAGAAACTTGTGGACCGTTGTCTGAGCAAGAAGGCTAAAGATCAGGCCTCTGCCCTGGAGTATATGGGTGAGTACATGGCTATAGACCAACCCGTTAAGCCCTCCCCCTGTTGTTTCGACCAATCACAACCATTCACTTCGTCACTGAATGAGATCTGTTTCCTGTTAAGTTTCTCCGGGTTGCGTGGGAGCAGGCATGCTTTACAAAAGTTAGATCCATCGGAAGTCGGTTGCTGAACGCTGCTTGCAGAGTCTAAGAGAATTTACAAAATCGTGGTTTTATGTCCAGCTTTGGCCCTAGACATCAAAACCTGCGATATGAGGCCAGAGTTAAGAGCATTTCCATTTTGTGTGGACATTTTAGGCTCCTGAATGATTCTGAAACCGTGCATGAAGCTGACGCTGGAGACAAGGCCACGTTTTGAAGAAATGACAGCATTTGTAATGTCATGTCAAGCATTTGCTTTTTGACTTTGCGGATTGTTAAACTCATTTCAAGCCTTGCAAATTTTGATGAAATCTTTTCATATCCACACACACTCACATGAGCTGGACTTAACAATGAGGTCTTTTTTGATGAACAGGAGTTAAAATTGGTCACAGGAGGATATGTAGATGTGGATTTTCTTGGCGGTGAAAAATAAACAGTTTTGTGTGTCTTTTTTGTAGAGAGTTTGCCGGAAGTTCGGAGGCAACTAGCCTGGCTGACTGACGCATCCAAGAGTTTATGCAGCACTCTGGGGCAGTGTCTGGCATCTATGATGCAACAAGAAGAGGTAGGTAATTGATTAAAGTTTTTTTCAGATTTTTTTTTTTTGGGGGGGGTTGTTTAGCCAGTTGTAGTAGTAAGTAAAGTCTGTCACGGCATTTGTCTTCGGTTTCCTTCGCATGAAATGACTGAGAATATTTCTATTCCCCCTGGATGGGATGCTAGTCCATCGCAGGTTACTCCCCGGCTAATGTGGGTACCCATTTATACATTTAGACCCTCTGATCATGAGTCACATTATGAAGAATTTATTTACAAAATGCGATATCATTTTTTTTTAAAGTGAAAGATTTTGCATGTTTATCAAAGTTTAAAGAATTAAAACAGTATAGCAGCTGTTTCTAATCTTCATTTTCTGCTTGATTTTCTTACTATTTTTTTAACTGTATAAAACCTGTCGAAACTGGCTTTGCGCAGCCAGGAGAGGGCGGGATTCTAGAAGGTAACAAAATTGCGTTTATCGCGATTTGGAAACTATATATATTGGCTTGTCACCAAATTATTTCGTTAAGTAAAAGCAAACAATTTTTTGATCATTTCATTATCCTGGCTGACGTTTTTTTTGCCCAAGTTTTTCAATACCACTTTTATACATATTGTGTGCCTTACAGCTGTAGTCATGTGAAAAAGTTGTCAAACCTTCAATTCCTACCCCACCCCCCATTTTCTTCATTATAAAAATATTCTTTGTCCGTACCACACCCAGCCTCACCCTGCCTCAACCCATTCTTCCAAACAAATAAAATAAATAAAACAAAGTGTGCCCTAATTATGCTAAATAAAGAATAACTTATAAGCAAACAGGACAACTTGATGTGTGATGTGTGTTTCTTTTCTTGTTTTTAAGTGGTTTGATAATTTTTAAATTTTCTTGAGAAATTTACTAATTTTAATTTTGTTTCCATTGATCAATAAGACATGTTAGTTATCCATATTTTCATTTAGGAGGGAAATATACAATTTGAACACCGAGATTGTTGTTCTTTCAAAAGTTCATCGAAAGTTCATCAAACTTTCTGCCGACCGACACAAAAACGTAACAGCGCCCTCTGTTCAACTCGCAATAATTAATAATTAATCAGTAAGCTAGGGAGTACATTAGAGTACGCACGTACTGTAGTGCATGCACTGTACTTGATGTGCATGTGCCATCAATCAATGTTTTCCGAGATCGATCGCTGATGAATGCTGAAAGTAACTCCTCGTTTTTCGCCGTTTTACCAATTTGGATCGTCGATTATTGTGGATTTTGAGAGCCAGTTTTGTGTGGTTTCAGTGGAATTTAGTTTGCAGGCTTGGTTTATGCGCAAGGTAAGCATTTGGCTGGGATTTGTTCGCGAAATTCGTCGACGTCAATGAACTAAAAATTTGTACGGGAATGACCTGCGAAAACGTAGGCCTACATTTATGTGCACAGCTCGGGCCAACATCCGACATTATCATGCATCGTTGCATTTTTATCATGCCGTGCACTTAGTCTTAAACATGTGGATATTTCTCCTTCTTTTTTAAGGTTTAATCATGCTTTAAACCTCGTTTAGTTGAGGACCCTGTTCCCATAAAACTTTACAAGGGAATGAAAAGGCCCTTTCTTGTTTCATTTCATTTTCAGGACTAACTTAAAATTGTTGGTCATGTCTGGTGGATTTCATGTTTTTGAAGAAATCATCAACAATTTTACTTTTTACTTTTAGTTTTAGTACCATTGGAAAGAAAATCACACGACAATATGAATAACATTTAAATCATTTTCATAGGTGCTTGCATTTTCGAGATATAACAAATCACGTCACAATTCAGTAAAAACATTCTCTTTTTTAGTGTCAACATTATTATTTTAACTCTAAATTTTCAAAATCTTTAATATCACAGAATCTGTGTTGCATGCACCCGTAAGTCTTTACACGAGAAGTTCGTTCTGGGGATGTTTACAACGAAAGCGTGGATCTGCGATTTATTTTCTGTAAACACGTCACCCACGGTCATATTGACTTTTTCTGAACCAAGCATCTTTGTAATTCCAAACATAAGGAATGCACAAAGAAAATTTCAGCTTTTTCTGTCTGGTAAAAATATCAAAAACGAATTTTGTTAACATTTTTGCTATGGCAGCAGAACAACACACAGGATGAAAATTGTGGTCAGATTAATCAGACATCGTCCGTCCCATATTTTCCAAACAAAAATAGATTTGCACAGTCATATTTTACGCCGTCAGTGCTCCGTGACACTTCAAAATTGACTCTCCTAATTTTGGAATCTTAATACAATTTTTGTGTCTAATTTCAGTGGCTTTAAGCTAAACATACACATTTTGGTCCTTGCGTCATAAATATAGTGCCCATAACAGGACTCACATAATGCGTATTGATGGTATTAGCTGACAAGTTTCATCCTCTGCACACAGCAAGCGTTACATAACTCTGCAGACAACTTGCAAAAGACCCATTGTGAGGTCACAATGCTGCACCCACTATCCTGCACCCTTTGTACCCGTGGGTATCTTATGGGCTTACACATGTACGTGTACATTTAAAGGGAATGCACATCATTGGCCTTTGCTGTAATTTTCAGAAATGAACTATTTGAGGGATTAGTATAATAGATCAAATATTGTTACACTGACATGTTTGAAGTTTTGTGTTCGAAAATGCTGGAAAAACCAAGAAAAACAAAAATGTTCAAGTAGTCTGGTTCCTTGACTCCACTAAAGATAAAATGGATCAATTTATAGATGCCGGAAAATTGTAAGGTAAGGGAACCAGTCTAGCTGGCCTGCACCCGTTCATGAACATGTAATTTGTAACCAATAGCAAACAAAATTTGGACCGAAAAAAGTGTAAAGTTGGAGCAGTAGTTGAAAAATAGTTAGGTTTTTCCAACGGTGGTCGGCCGACCACCGTTGGAAATGTATACAAAAATACCATTTTCTTGAAAATGACTTCACACCAGGTGCCATAATTTTACAGGATGCTTTAGACTGTCATTTACCAACATCCTAGTAAGGTATTTCGTAAAAACTTGGTAGTTTTATTTTTCAATGTTTGCAAATGTTGTATATTCCCTTTAATAGTATTTCATCATCAGTCGATGTATGTACAGTACAACGTACTCCATCTGCACCATGACTAATCCATTGTACACTTACTGGTACCGTATGTTGACGCATAGCCATATGTGTACACTTATTATACATGTACTAATAACAGTTTGAAGTTCACCTTAATTATACCTTCCAAGACCTTCAAAATCTACACAGAGCCCAATGTTTTGAAAGATTTTGTAAGATTGAGGGAGACAAAGAATAGTCAGTATTTCTAAGGGACCACATGTAAACATGTGCTTGGCCTGTTTTAAACACTATGTTTAAGACCGGTTTGGAGTCTGGACACCAAGTCATCTCATATGTGTCCCAAATGAAAATTTACTTTTTTTAAAGCAAGGCAGGAGTTACTCAGGTTCTCAGACCAAAAAATGCTGACTATTCTGACAAATCTTAGGTCAGGTAGCCCCCGCGTCTAAAAATAAACGTGATAAAAAAAGGGCAGGAAAACTGCTTGTTTTCCAAAATTGTCAATTTTTTTTCCAAATAGTTAAATTCGTTCACACTGTCAATAAATAGTTTTTTTATCAACAAAATACCTGTCATGCTTGTCATCAGTTTTGAAAATTTTTAGGTCACAAATTCATGCCTTGAATTAAATAATGTTTAATGCCAGGCAATTTTACCCAGTATCTGTATTAATTTTAAATATCCAATGTAGATGTTATGCCTCGTGTATGCACTCGTACCAGGGCTAGGCTTTACTGCATCATGATCTATTTTTGGAATTGACAGCTACCTGACCTAAGAATTGTTAGAATAGTCGGAGTCTGGAAGCCATACTCGGCAGGCAGTGCAGGCATGCACATGTACATAACCCCAATAAACCCCAATGAAATAAGGACTGTACATGTACATTTGGAGGGCATGATCGACATTGTTATTTTGTGAATGTGCAATGAAGTCCACAGAACTCTGAAAGGACTTCATATATTTATATTTAGCCTAAAGAACTGTACATAAAGAACTATTATACTGACAGTGTCAACGAAAAATATTCGGAAAAATGTTATTAATTTTTTGGAAAACAAGCCAGATCCTGCTCAAACAAAAAACACAAAAACGCCGAAAACAACTTCCCTACCTACTACCTACCAGGCGCGGTTCTAGAACCAATATTTTGGGGGTGCTAGCAGGGTGGATCCAGATTTTTTTTTTTTCAGGGAGGCGTGCTGAAATGTAGACTGGTTATTTTCTCCAGACGCTTAGGCCTCCGTAAATCAATTGGGGGGGGGGGGGGGGGGCTCATGCCATATTTTCAATGGGGAGCGCCAATAAAATCCTAAAATCATTCACACTACATTAACTACAAATGCACCCTTGTCACGGCTATTTCTTTAGGGGGAGACCGTTCGCATGTACATCACAATCCTTCTTTTTGCTAATGCAATTTTTTTTTTAAGGAATTTATTTGGGGGGGGCTAGACAAAATTAAGGGGGGGGGGGGCTGAAGCCCTCCCCCCCCCCCCCCCCCAGAACCGCGCCTGCTACCTACCCTATTTTCAAATGCCATGTAATCAGAAGCAGAACTATTTTTATACATCATTTCCGTTCAGTGCCCCAACACAGTAGTGACTGCAATACTTGCACACTTCATCTTCATATGTACAGTACTGGTACTTAACAATCTGTGTGCCGTGTGACCTTGGCCTAATTTAGCCATGATGTTTAATGTATCTCAGACATTTTAGAGGTGTGATATACATTTTAAAGGTGTCGGTGTAGACTGTAATAGGCATGGGGTATTCAACACTTAGGGTGTTAATATTGCATTTCCTTTGTTCAGTTTTGTTAGCTTGCAGTTAATCTTATATCCTTTTTGTATTAGCACATGAAAACTTGTACACCCTAAAACCATGGAGGCTATTCCTTCCTCCATGCTAAAACTAAGTAAACACTTTACC